GAAAAATTCAAATCTTGGAAATTGCTGTGTAAACTGAAGTGGGAACTATCTACCAAAACACAAAAGGCAAAGAAGTAGAAGAGATTTAGTATACAGTGTTTGCACAGAAGGGCACTACACAAGGATCTACTACAGAAGGATCCAGAGTTCATTCCAACAGAAAAGATTATCAAAAGGCAGAACTACAGATCCCCCGTCTTTCGTGATTTTAGACCTTCAGTCCAAGTCATTAGATGGCTTGAATACTCAGCTCTTAGTTAAGCAGTTCAGATGCAGTGTAAGTTATTTTTAACATCTCTAACTTGAGCTTGCAGCTATCTGAATAGTCATGCAATTTCCACTGCTTAGTGATTATGGCAAGAGAAACCTGTCACAATTGACACCGATGGTGTTCACCTCCCTTGGAAAAATCAGAACTGTATGCAACTGAAAAATAAGAACACCCTGATTTCTCCTGCCGAGAGACAAGTCTCATAGTAAAGCTTTGAGACATCAGTAGGAGTGATGAAAAAGCTCTAATTGTACCTCTCATCTCTCCAGTACACACCTGTTTTATAACTTCAAATATCTGTTTCTTCCATTGCTGTTTCTAAAACCAAAAACTTCAGGAAAGGACAAAGATGACATCCCAGACCCCAGAGCTCCTTTTTGGTTCCTCCTTAGCCAAAGCACAAGGAAAACGTGACATGGTTTCACATCAGGCAAGCATGTTTCAGAGGAGAGCACAGATATAAACACCTTGGTGAGAACACAGCTGCATTTGGAGACGAGAACTGTGCTACTGAGGTCTACAGGATACGGGAGCTGAGGTGCTGCTGACAAGCACCTCTCATTTCCCTGAACCCCGAACTGCAAAGCACTCCACCTCTGCTGCCTCACCTCAGCTAGCAGTGCTGCAGTGAAGCAACGCTGCTATGTCTCACTTTTTGAGGACTTGCAAGTGAACTATGTGGACCCACAGATCCATAGTGACTGGAAGTTAAGTCACTTACAGCCAAAATTCTTGCCAGTAACTCGTCTTACTTCTTTACAGTGACTCATCAGAACAGTATGAATAAGCTGTGAGAAAAATGACTACTGGGAGAGTTTCTATTTACCAGCCACTGAACTTTGTTTGGCTATTCCTTATAGTTACCTAAACATTGCTAATAATTTTATTATGTGCTGAATTCCTGGAGCTAACTTATTTACAAGATGAATTAGAGACTGAAGTATTTTGAGTTTGCATTACTCCATTATCAAACTTTCCTAGAAGTAGAAACCTATTGGAATAATTCAGGACAAGAACATTCCGTAAGTAAATTGAATTCTATTAACATTATCTGAAATAATACTTGGCAAAAACTACGTATTCTTCATGTAGACTTAATTTTGAGCTTAAAACTCAACCCTGACGCTGTTACAACACCATGTCCTTACCTTAAACTTAGATGATACTTGAAACTCAGCAGCACGGGAAAATGGGATGAGACCTTAACCTTGCTGTTACTCCACCTCTCTTGGGAGAGCAGGAATTTAAACTTTCTTAATGAAGTTCAATTTAATCTTAAGATATTGATAGCCACATACCAGCTCTTTTCCTTCGCAAAGATTTTTGTTTGAACAACCCACGTGTGTACACTATTAGAAAAACCAACAGTGCTTTTCATGCATGATAAAACAGAAAGGAAGAATGTTACTGCCCGGGGGTTCTGGATTCCTTGTGTGTCAGTGTTTACTTGAAAAAGCCAATGATCAGATCGGGCAGAGGATGAAATGACAACGTATTATTTAAAAAGATTTTAATGAACCCTGACAGTAAACGTATGATGATCTGTAATAGGAAACAAACTTTACTTATAAGCTATGACAGCACAGCAAAACAAATGCAGTAGCTCTACAGAAAAGATTTTAAAACTACCAGCTACAGCTATGCCAGAATCTTCTTGGTATTCAGTCTGAGCTGTATAAGATGTCATATGTCTCTAAAATACATTTGGCTACAGCTTAAGTCATTTTTAGCCACAGAAATAATTTGTTAGAACCGAAATAAAGGTTTGATAGCATAATGATCACAAGCATTTAAACAGTCATCCTGCTTTTGCTAGGCTGACACCCAATCCTCTGGAAAGAGGTCAAAACTCCAGGATTATTATTTTGATAATTAATGGCATTCTAACTGACTTAATAGCTGCCTGTACTTATGATGTATGAAAGAGCCCTGGTTTAATAAGAATGATGGGATAAATCACTGAAGTTGTATACTCGTGGTTTGTCATCAGGATTGTGCTACATACACAGTTTGCTTCTAACAAAAAACTTCAAAAGGTAAAAATACTCAGTAGCTTGAATTTTCCTTTTACCGCCTGTGATCCTTGCATTAATTCTTCAACAGGGCACAGGGAGATGACACAGAAAGCTCAGTAAGTTGGGGACCGTTTGTCTTTAACAAACTATAGTGTTCTGTCTTCCATTGAGTGCTGTTATTGGATTTGTGGTTATCATTCCCATATTCTGCTTACAAAGACGATGCTTTGCTTTACACAGCGCTATTTTGTGATTTCATTTCACGTCTGCTCTCATAGGTAAGGAGCTACTGGGTACTGTACTGTGCGAAGAAAAGCAGAGAGCAAACAATACAACAGCTTTGACCAATCTCTAAAATTGCCCCACATCACCTGAGCACCAGGAGAAAATCTGAAGTATTTCTATATACTCATTTATAAACAAGCAATATTTATCTTCATCTCCCAGTGGTTGTTTTTATTAAGTGGAAACTAAACATCGGTTAAGCCAGTTAAAGATGTGCCACTGGACAACCATTTATACTGATTTCTGGACATTATTCGTGGTGCTGCACCACTGCCTTACAACAAAAACTGTTTCTTGTATCTCCTCTTTGTATAACCTGCATCTAGAATCTAAATTTTTTACTGGCACATAAATTAGGTAAAGATTGATTGAGATGTGCAAGTGAGACATGTTCATAAGGAAGATAATTTTATAGGAGAGATGACACTGACTAGCTTTTGTAACAATAAACACCTTTTTTTTTTTTTTTTTTTTTTTTTTTTTAAGATATTCTTTGTCACATCTCTCCATTTATACAGTATTCATTGCTGTATGACACAAATGATGCAGTAGCAGTTTTAACACACCTTACTGAAGTACCATTTTCTTACACACTGTTTCTTTTTACTTTCCTTTCTCCATAGTTTTCACTACAGGTGCTGGTTCCGAGCCATGGTAACATCTCTCTTTTCACCCACCTATCCCCACACAGGAAAGCGTGGGCCAGTTCAGACCTCAGCCAGCATGCTGATTGGCCCTTCAGAGGCAAAACCTGAAGAGCTCACAAACAAGTGCCCAGCACCCACTGCAAAACTGCCTTTTTTCTTCTGTTTGCAGGACCAGCTGAGGCCAACGAGGTGGGAACTGTGGATACTGAGGGAACAAGGAGACAGCAGGGGTGAAGCTGCAGGTGCAAGGGCAGAGTGAGCCTAGGGACAGAACAATGCAAATGAATTGGGAACTAAGTACATTGTGGTGAAAACAGGGCTGCTGTATGGGACAGTGGGGAAGTGACACTGCTGTGGGAGTGGGTGAAAGGAGAGAGAAGACATGCTCAGGTGTTGGGCTTTAATGCTTCTACTGTGCATCAAATAATGTGAGTTTTTCTTCCCTTAGCCTGAGTGATATCATACAATAACTATGTTCTTCATTGTTTCCTAAGGAAGCAGCAAATGAATGATGTGCTTTAGGATGTTCTTTAATGAAGTCTACACTGCAGAAGGCAGGAAAACAAGCTTGGATGTTTCTTAAACTGGAATAAGAGCATTCAGCAGAACAGTTTTCTTCCAACATTAACTTCTGTAGCTTGTGATTACCTCCCACGCATACATTCCCCCCTTTTCTTTCAACAGGGACACTTCCGTTCCCTGCCAGCATAAACACAGTCGTGGCCTCTCTATTCCCTCATGTCTTTGTGAGGATAAGCTGTATAACAGCACTAGGTTTCTCCCTCTGGTCCTCTCCTCCCAGCACAAGCACCAGCTCAGTTCTCTTTCAGCCCGTTTCAGCAGGCCTACCCTCAGCTGCAGACCCTCTGTTCTTCTGACCAGCTCCCTTGGCAGGAGCGCTGCATTGAAAGAAGCGTTAAACCCTGCAGATTAAGAATCCTTGCTATCTGCAAGTGCTTAACTCAGCTCTGCACCACTGTACCTCGGCTAGAACCCACGAGGCTGCACACATGTCTTCAGCACTCCTTCCTTGCGCACTGCACTGTCAAGTCGAGATCTGAACCAGACTGGTCCGAGGTCTCACCTGGCAGAGCGCACGCTGTCATTAGCGCTACTGCTAGTTAAACAAAGAAGAAAGCCAACTAATCGGGGAGCACGCTATGAGCTGGCTGGTGCTGGCACATCTCCCCGCCCGGCGCTACCTGTACAGCCACTCTGGGGGCTCCCGGAGCTGTCAACGCGCTGCCGGGGCACCCAGCGCCGCATCCCGTCTCCTCGCCCCTTCCTTCCTCCATCACCTGCTACCGCTCGGCATCCCCTCAGCCGCGGGATGGACGTAAACCATTCTTTGTCTTCAATCACCTCTCCTGCGGCACAGCCGGAGCTTTCCGGCATCTGTATTCCAGAACTACGGCGCATACTAAAAAAAACCAAACCCAATCAACAGTTATCTGACCAAAGCGCAGCTATCCGCCCGGCGCCCGGGCTCTCACGTTTTGGCCGCAAGCACGTTTTGGCCGCACGAGCACACCCACCGCAGCGCTTCGGAGCGCCGAAGCGAGCGGGCTCTCCCCCCCGCTCGCCCAGTCCGGCTGCAGAACCGAGCCGAGCTCCCGCCCGCCTCCAGGCAGCCCGCAGAGCGGCGACCCCGCGACTCACCGGTTCGGGCAGCAGCGGCAGGCGGTGAGATCGGGCAGCTGAGGACGGCTAGGGCGCAGAGCAGCGCGGGCAGCCCCATGGCCGCCGCCTCCCTGCTGTCTGTCCGTCCGTCCGTCCGTCCGTCCGTCCCGGCCCCGCCGGGAAACCGAGTGAGGCCCGAGCGGAACGGGGCCGCCCCTCGGCCGCCGCTGGGAGAGGCGGGGGCGCCTTCCTGCCGGGCGGGGCGGGACGGACTCCGGTGGGAGGGCCGAGCGGTGCCGGGTCCGCCGCTGGGGCTGGGGGGGGAGGGGAGAGCGGGAGGTGCTGCTGTCCCGGTGGTGTCCCGCGGGTAACGAGAAACGCAAAACAAAGGGATTCAGCCGAAAGTTTGCGCCACGCTGGATGCACAAAACAACCAGACCCGACTCCTCACCCGCATGGCTCTCACGCCCGCTTTGTTCTGTGCGCGGCTGCGCGCTGGGCGGAGCTGCTCCGAATGCGGCCGCACCTGTGCGGGTGGAGGCACGGGGCTGCCCCTCCGCGTTGGTCGCGGGTGGAGGACTGGTGTGCAGGCAGAACTGCCGTGGGAGACAGCTTTCCCGCTGTCGTCTAGGTTGTGTTTGCTGACAATGCTATGGCACTCCACCTGTAGTTTGAATGTATTTTATTCCTGAGGTATGAGCTGCCGTCGTAAGCTTTACGCGTCCCGTGATTTGCTAGGGTGTGCAGCCCTGTCCTCAACTATATACATTTGTGTTTACAGCAATACAGAAATAACGGGAGGAGGGCTCTGTTCAGAACTGGATCACTTTCAGGACGTCGTGTCATTGCTGCAGAAACACTGATGCGTAACTGAGAATAACAAGGATGGGAAGTCAACTCTTGACAGTGAGTACCGATGCCCAGTCAGTTCCAGTTCTGATCTCATCTTGTCCTGCAGCATGCTTCCCACAGTTCTGGCCCCTGCTCCACGTTACCAGTTACGGCTGACCTCTGTTTGCATGAAGCAAGAAGTGTGATAGCCGTACTGCTAGCCAGCACTTCTGCTGCTAGGTAAGAGGTGGTTGCTAGCAAGAGACACATCCACGACCAAATAAATCTCTGTCATCCTTGGGCATAGTGGGGAGCCCACAGAAAATGGCTTTTACTTAATCACGGACTCAGTTTTTATCAATTCAGAAAATACTTTAATCGGAGGTTAGTGCTTTTATTCTGTTTTGGAAGATCAAGTGAAGCCACGGAAGGTACTTCTGTGACCTTGCTGCTGTATAAGAATACGTGAAGGTAGCATAACAGCAGAGGCTTTCATAGCCAATGTTATCTTTTTAGTGTATGAATAAACAGAAGCTATTTGTGATCTGAACTGATCTTCCATGCTGCAGTTTTCATAAAGCTGCAGCAGCCAAGAGACATGCCTTCAATGGTATTTGCTGGTGGGAATGTCTATGTGGGGAAAACTCACTGTGCCACTCATGTAAACACCAATTTTTTTTAGCTATTACATTGCATACAGTTCTGAAGCATTACTCTGCTCTTCTACAAGTTGAGGAAAATCAACCAAATTCTCTTCACTGAATGAAATTCAGACACCCTGTGAACACTTAGAACTTTGTGTACGTGCTTTCTGTCAGAGGCACTCCATTTATGTAGTCTGTACTTATTAGACTCAAATGTGGTTTTAATCTTTGTAAATGCATACAGCAGAGTGACATTAATGACCTAAATGTAGATGGCCCTGAAAAGAGTATGTATAAACAAACACAGAACTAACTAACACACCATATATAGTAAAAACATGCCATGAACCTATTTCCATTCCTTGCAGATGTAGCAGTATGGTAAGAATTCTGTTTTACTGAGAAATGCAAAAGGAAACATCTTGCCAAGAGTTCAAACTGGAGATTAGAGAAGTGACAGATTGAGATCTGCAGTGGGACTACATCCTCAAGTTGCGAGGATTTTTGTGCTTTGAACACTAGTTTTATACAGAAGCATTGCACCGTTTTCCCCATTATTCACAACATGCCAAATTACTCTGACACACACTTGAAAATAAGCAGATATTTTCATTCTAGTTGACTCTTTCATAGCAGAAACTGAGGCTTCAGGAAGTCTGTTCTCACTGTTGTTCAGTGCCAGCACAAGAGGCACAAATATGAGCACCACCTAACACTTCTGTGCTATGCTGTGTAGGTGGCAGAGCACTGGCATAGGTTGTCCAGAAGCTGTAGGATCTCATTATTGGAAGTTATTGCGGGTAACCCAGCAGGCAGCTAAGCAGCTGCTTGCTCACTCCCAGTGGGATGTCGGAGAGAAAAGGGTAAAACTGGTAGGTTGAGGTAAAAACTATTTATTAAAACAGAAATGGAAGAGAGAAAGAATTCTAATGATAATTTTATAAGTAGGCAAATAAGTAAATAAACATATGTTTACAAAACAAGTGATGCACACCACAATTGCTCACAACCCACTGACCAATGTCCAACCAGTCCCCAAGCAGCAGCTAGCCTCCCCTGGCCAACTCCCCTCAGTTTTATAGTTTTTTCAAAGCACACCATATATTATGGGATGTCCCTTTGGCTGGTTTGGATCAGCTGCCCTGGTTCTGTCCTTTTTGAGTTCCTTGTGGTCCCCAGCCCCTCACTGGCAAGAGAGTAAGAGAAGCTGTAAAACTGAAATGTCCTCAGCTCTGTGCTGCACTGTTGAGCAACAGCTAAAGCATTGGTATGCCATCAATATTGTCTTTCTCCCAGAGCTGAAACAGAGCATCAACAGAGCTCCAGACACTATGAAGAAAATCAACTCTGACTCCAGCCAAATCCAGTATAAATGTCTTCAGAAACCACCTGGATGTGGTCCTGGGCAACCTGCTCTCAGTGTCTCTGCTTGACCAGATGAGCTCCAGAATCACCTTCTGACCTCACCATTCTGCTGTAGTGTGCAACCACATTCTCATCTACAGCAATCAGACTATTTGACACATCTTGATGAAATTAATCATTGCTTTCCAAACTCTTTTTTCCCTTGTGTCAAACTTATAAATTGGATTTAAATTTAAAGTGCCATCAGTCCTGTCTGGGATGATGGCTTTTTCTCCAAAAAGTATCCTTCCAAGTGGTTTTGAGCTGTTCTGAAGGCTGAAAGAAAATGACAAAACTGATGGCTGCTTCAAAAATTTGATAATGCCCTGGAGACAGAAAGAAAAAAATGACACGGTGAAGCTAGCAGATTATCTGCATTTTTTTCTTTTTCTTCAAGAGTCTCATTTGTCTGATCTACTGTTACACATCTGGAGACATGTCCAAGAAGTACCCGTAAGTGCCTACCCTTAGTGCCCTGAAGATACTTTGCATGGGGCAGCTTCACAGTGTTGTGTAGAGATTTGCATCTGGAATCAAGGTCAGGTATTTGGAGCAATGTGCTATGCAGCTGACTTTCAGTTTATAAGCTAGGAACAAGTATCAATTAAAGAACTTTCTGCAAAGAAATTAGTCTTTTTTTTTTCTTTTTTTTTTTTTTTTCCTTCAAATATATGAGTTAATAATGTTTAAATATTCATCATAATAGAGGGTGGAATGAGCAGAAGGCTGCATGGTACTTCCCTGTCTGCTGGGTTAAACCACAGTATGAACATATTTTTTTAAATGTTTTACTAGACTTCAGCAGAAATACACACTTACAAGTTCTAGGTGTCTTTACTAGTGGGCCACTGGTTGGGGATAATCCACAGACCACTAAATCCATGAAAGATGTGAAGGGAAAGTCATGTCATACTCACAGCAAAAACTTTCCATTCTGGCATAAGGAACAGATTCAGGGCTCTATGTTCAAAAATCTTATTTATCCCTTATTTATTTATCCCTATTGCTCTCTTCTGGCACCTGAAAGGTTCTTACAGTGAGAATGGGATTGGTCTCTTATGACTGGTGACAGGACAAGGGGAAATGGCCTCAAGTTGTGCCAGGGTAAGTTTGGGCTGGATATCAGAAAACACTTCTTTACAGAAAGGGTTGTTAAGCAATGGAATAGGCTCCCCAGGGAGGTGGTTGAGTCACCATCCCTGGATGTGTTTAAAAACTGTTTGGATGTGGTGCTCAGGGACATGATTTAACAGAGAGTTGTTAGAGTTAGGGTAGCATGGTTAGGTTGTGGTTGGACTCGATGATCTTTATGGTCTTTTCCAGCCTGAGTGATTCTATGATTCTATGTTCTTTGTACCACTGTAAGTTGGATTACTATGGATACAGGAAGTGAATAAAAAGCCCTACTTTTTTGCACCGAATTAAACTGTTTGCACCGAATTAAAGTCTTTTGTATCCTGTAGTTATGCAACTCAACTTGTTATTTTTTCAGTCTGGGCAAACTAATTGTAAGGGAAGCGAAGAGTTCATGGATTCTAAAACTTGTATCACTTTTAAATTCTGTTTTTTTTCATCTTTCTCAGCTTCTAGTTTTGCTGCTTTTTTTTTTTTTTTTTTTTTTTTTTTGGTAAGGAGTATGTTATATTGCAGTACTGCAGTGCTTCATTCCTCTACAACGTAGCAGGTCAACCAAGCAATACCAAGATAGCCTAGAACAATCTAGTAGCATTGCTATGTCAGTGAGGAAGCAGCCATTTTTCTAATGGTCAGGTGCTACGAGATCACAATGGTGCAAGACTCAGGTTGGTAGTTACTGCTCTAAAAAGGAGATGCTAGAAGCTTATTTTAGAGGCAAAACCAGTCCCCCAGGTCTGGGAAAAGGCTTGTGCTGTCTACGTAGTCTAGAACTGTTTGAAGTCATATGTGACTGTTTCTCTTCAAATTTGCTGTTAGGGGGAAGCTTGTTTTGTTGCTTCTGCTTTCTTCTAAGGCTGCTAAAAAAGGTTTGCAGATAGGCATCCAGTAAGACAGACCACAAGCTGTCACTTGTAATAGTGTTCCTCTTTGCTTGGCCAAATAAGATAGACATTCTCTCTGCAATTCTGTGGCTTGTTTTAGAGCTTCAGAGTTCTATCAGAATGAACAAGCTCAAACAAACTGAGTTAATTGTAAAGCACTTTTGGTCAACTCTAAAAATCTTATTTTTAGAGGTAGAAAAATGTGAACTACAGCTGTCAGCCAAAGACCACCGGTTATTATAATTTCACTATTACTATCTAAGAAAAGAGACTTAAAAACAGACAGGAAGGATGCAATTCCTCCAGTGATAGAAACAGGTGAGTAAAGCACTATTAATCTATTCTGGCTTTTCCCTCCATTTTCATGTCTAGCAAGACAAGTATTTCCATGAGATCATTTCTTGAATGAGCCAGGTTTCATCAAGTAGTATCTAGTTACATACAATTGGAGGCCCAGAGTTTTGCAGCTTGAAGTAACCTCCTTGAAGCCCATTTTTTGTACTTTTTAGTAGAACTGCCAGTTTAACAGGTACGGAATTGCTCTGCCAATTACATGGTACCTGGTAGTTCCTGTCAATCTTATATTTAGGTAGGAGCCATTGTGGTCCGTCTTGTTTAGTGGGTTTATTGTTTGTTCAGTGACAAACAACCAGCTAATTAAGAAAAAAAAGCTTCTAAAGGAGATCACAAATTAAATGGAAGCTACTCTTTGATGTGTAGTAGGAAAGCAGGAATGTCAGTAAAAGGCTGAAAGAGGTGACACCAAGCATAAAGACCTTACATTCCCTACATTACCTGGGAACCCAAAAACTTTTAGTAAGCAAGTGTACTTCAGGTGCAGCTAGCAGATAACCAATAAAGGTTCTAGTCACATTAGAGCTAAGCAGGCCTTGAAGAAGAATTCAGAGACACTGGAGCAAGACTGAGGAGCAAGCAAGGAAAATGCACAGAGGGGAGATGAGTGACTGGGGAGCAGCTCAGCAGGAAGGGACCTGGGGCTGCTGGTGCCAGCAGGCTCAGCCTGAGCAAATCACACATTGGCACAGCACAGCCACATGGTCAAGACTCTCCAACTGCAGTCAGTGTTGGAGCAGCCTTGCCTTGAATACTGTGTGCAGTTCTGAGCTGCACAACATAAAAAGGATATAAAGATACTTGAAAGCATCCAGAGGAGGCAAGAAAACTGGCAACAGGGCTGGAGGAGAGGCTGAGAACACTCAGTTTGCCCAGCCTGGAGAAGAGAATGCTGAGAGGATCTCACTGCTCCCTGCAGCTCCCTGAAGGGATCGCACTAGAGGGCTGGAATAGATTGTCTTTGCAGGTCCCTTCCAACTGACCTTTTCTATGTGCTACTTTCAGCTTCCCTACCAACTATTTTAGGAGAACCTGGATGTTAATGCTAAAGAGTAACATCAGCATAGCCAATAAATGCTAAATGGCAAGTGCAGTATAATTAGCTGGAAGAAAAAGGAGCTGTTTGTTTTTCTTAGGAATATTAGCTGTTTTTAAGTAAAGTAGTGAAGTGCTCACACTTTACGCTGTGCCTAAGGACTACCTCTATTAAATGTCATCTTTTTTTCAGCTTGTATTGTAAACAAATCAGTATCTATCTGCCACTAACTTGAGTTTTATTTCATCTTCAGAATTGTTATCTGTATATTCGCTTTTACAATCTATTCCAGAGTGCCTCACTTCACTTTCATCTTTAAAGTGATTTGCCACAAGGAAAGCAAGAGTAGGAGCTATTTCCCCTCACTTTGTATATTACATTACTCCCTCTACAAGCTCTTGCTCTGTAGATGTAATTGCTGTTTTATCAGAAAAATCACCATCACTTCCAAACGCATAAAGAGGTTATGAAGTCTTCACTGCTGAAAAGTCTTCCCAAAGTGCACTATAAGGACAACCACGTTTAAATTTTATTTTATAAAAATGCTGAAAAAAGTTCTTTCATTACCATCCGGGTTGTTACTTTAATTACCTTTTTAAATGTAATTTAGGAACCAAGCCAGTTTAATTAACTGAAATTTATTTTACATAGAACAATCTCCAAAGAATATTTAAAAAATCTAAATACTGATTTTATTGCATTTATTTTCTTACAAAAAAAAAAAAAAAAAAAAGACAGACAGGCACAATTTATGTATTCAAATACTTCAAACTGAACAGCTGTTTACCGTTCAGATACCCCCATGCCACTCAAAAAGTCATGAATGTAGAAAATGTCATTTTACACAAGGCAGTAGTGCATTTTATTTAGTAGGAATGAATCAAAACATATTTTTCCAAAGTAAAACATTACTGTCACTTTATAATTACCTATAAAATTTTTTGAATTGCACAATAAGTTTTCTTTCAATTGACAACTGCCAGAAAATAGGCTTAGTATGTAACTAAATATTTGTGCAAGCTATCCCCTAGAAACAAATCAGGATTTCTTTTGGTAAATACTTAAAAGTCTAATACAAACTATATTATATATCTGAGGTCATTTAAAAATGTTTTTAATAGGAAGAGGCATATATATTCAACTAAATTCAATTTGTCTACTTAATATCCACAAGAGCTGAATGTCCTAAACAATGTTTTTGATTGGAAGGTACCAACACCAATGAGATCTGGAAGTGTTTAAAATATTCTATTTCCTATTTTTTTGCTTAATATCAACGATGCAAAGGCACTGTGTACATTCCTCTGAATATTTGGTGTTTTAGTTTTTTTAAAGTTAAAAAGCATCCAATCACAAATTTCAAATGTTTAAAAGCAAGAAAAAATACTGAGTAGACTTCCTACTGATGAATGTAGTCCATGATATCCGAAGACACTCATTTTCCATAGAACTTCTTATTCAACAGGAATATGAGCAAATTAACATTCACTTTAGCTTTGTCAAACATTTTCATTACAGCCACACCTTCATACTGCATCTGAAGCAAATCCTGTAATCATAAATAAAATCATTATCCTTTACTTGAATCCATACCTCACAATAACCAGATCAAGTCAGTTTCATCATGTAATAACCATCTTAAGCTCCTGGTCCTTCACAATTTAAACAATTACAAGCAACTATTAGGTAGGTGTGAAAACTCTACATGTTCTCTACATCCCTAATTATAGGCCATTAGTAATGGCAAAAAAAAAAAAAAAAAAAAAAAAAAAAAAGAAAGACTGTTTCTTGTGTATTTTATTTCTCTTGGCTTTTACTTCTTCCACTGAACTAATATGGCATTTGGTTTGATGCATGCAGTGGTCACTCGAGCATATACATTCTCACTACTCCAAACCCAGCATCCTACACAAGTTACATAATTATTCCATACTCGACCTGTCTTCTTGACCTGTCTGTTGATCAAACAGTTCATGGACATATTAGAAGCCTGAAATTCTTCCTATTTACAGGAAATGCAACTGAAGCTACAGAGCACAGTGAGAACATTCGTACTCTACCTGGAAGTGAAGCTGCACTTTTTCCATCTCGACGCCCAGAAATTTTGCTTTGATTTCAAAGTCACCCACTTCTTCTCCAGGTGTGATATCAAACATCACGTTCTTAAACCTTAAATCAAAACATAAGAGTCACTGAGTATGTATGCTATGCAGTTTTAAAATACTTCAGAATCAGTCAAGAGGAAAATCTGCAGAATAAAAAAAAAATTCACCAGAGACATCAGTGTGTAAGAACAGCTTTATCTCCCTCCCAGCAGCAGCCACTGGAGCCACTGGTCCTCAGCTCAGACACTGGAGGACTGTCAGAAATGCTGTCCTAAATTTTGCTCCCAGCACTGTTCCATCTGTCACTTTGCCATTAGTTAAGCAGTAAGGTATGAGAAACCACACTGCAAATTAAATGATCTGCCTTAGAAAACTTCATAGCCAGCTGGCCTATAAATGTGAGCTCTGTAAGCTGGAAGTATAGCCACGGTAGCACTTATTTACAGACACTACAAAAAAGAGACCCTTATAAAACCTCACTATTATGGGTAGGAGACATGGTCACAGCTCAGACCACAGAGAACAGGCATGGTAAGCTACCAGCTCTATTCATCTTACCATAGTCAGGAAATAGCTTATGTGGTATTTACTCAACTATATGAAAATGCTTGGTCAGGAAGAAAAAAATAATTGATACAGCTGCATCAATCAGTTATTTATCTGTGGATGTGCTGCACACCTTGTATGCATCTCACCTAAGCTAATGCCAAAACCCACTTAATTCCTGTATTTTACTAAGGTAATGCAGCAAGATGCAAGGGGAAAAAATGAATTGAGTCATGTTTCCTCCAAATGTTAAAATCTGGAGGTATGTTAGATGCAGTGCAGGAAGATGAAAATACTTTCAGCAAAAGCCAGACTCCTTAAGCGGACGTGGATTAGAAAATGCTTATTTTGTGCCACACTTACTGGTTGGTTTGAAGATCTTCAATTTCTAGGATAACACCCTTTTCATGCAGCCTAGCAGCAGTGTACTTTAATGATGCCTGCTTCAATTTCTTGCTGCCCTTCACCTCCTCTTTTCCATCTAGTTTAATTGACCTCCTTGAATTTCTAGGAGAGAACAAGAAAAATGGCTTGTGATTACCAGCACAAAATTTTGTATTTTATACTTCAGCTACTGTTCTAGCTTTATTTTTTCTTCGTTCATTGTCCTCCTTAGTTGCTATTAATGAACTAAACTAAAATTCAGACCAAGTCTGAGAATTCAGGGGAACTTTAAACACTTCACAAGCAGTCAAAACATTTTTCACAATGATTTTGAAAGAATATTTGATAGTGCTTATTTGAACTTCATTCTGAAATGCAAACCCTATCTAAAAGAGTCCACAGTCATCATTTAAAAACAGCAGTTTGGAAGCATACAGTAATGGGCATTGAATAAAATTGGCCATTAAAGTTAATTTTTGGTATGCATTGAGAAGATTTCCACTCATGTCTATCTGTTGGAAAGAAAACTTTCTACCTGCCCTCCTTCCTCATAGAATATGTAGAAATATTAAGAGACAAGAAGAATGTACTCACTTTCTTGTTAAGTTGTCTAAACAAGTTTTTATATAGGTGTTGTAATAATTAATTTGTTCTTCGTAAAATGCTGTCTTGGAGTTAAGTGCATTCAAAGTCTGCTGAAGTTTCACCAGTTCAGCTTTTCGGTGATGTCTGTATCTTCTTTGATTCCGGATATCCTAAAATAGAGGATTCAGATTTGTTACGCAGTAGGATTATTAACTTGATATTTAGAACAAAAGTGACTAGTATTAAGCACTATAGTTTACGTAACTAAACAGAAGATAATCACATCGCTACTCAGGTTTGCCAGTGATGGGAAATCACAATTTTCCAATTCTGGGTAAATCAAGCTAGTACACAAGAGCTGGAAGGGAGATCAGATGGATGGTTCCAAGCTCTCTGCTTCCTGCAGTGCAGGATTACCACAACCTCTGCAAACACTGCTGCCTCAAAACCCAACAGAGCTACTGGAGCTTCCAGCTGGAAGGCTAGCCTTGCAGATGTTGGCAATAAGGCCCACGCCAAACACCGGCTTTGTCTCTTCTGCTTGCAAGCCTGTATCTGCTTGCTCACGGTAACTGGGGGTAGCTGAAGCTGAGTGAATGCAAGCTGTGGAGTCTTGAACTCTGCTACCATTTCCAAGGCATTACACTAACAGACTGGAGCATCCAAAGAAGAATCAAATCTTAGTTCACTGATGATCTAAAAGAAAAATAGTACTCTATTGCATAACTACATGAACTGGATAATGTGCAGCTGTAGCAATTGTTATCCAGGCTTATCTGTTACTATCTCTGTCTAGACTGGATTGAACCTAGATGCCTAAAATCCATCCATATACAAGGAACACGTTTCATTTACCTTAGCAATCTCATTTATAATTTCTTGGTACTTTGTTGCTGAAGAGACTAATCCTGCTTGTTCCAAAGTCCGGAGATTTCTCTGAATTTTCCTTTTCTTTTGTTCTATTGGTAGCTGCCCATCTTCAAAAATAGACTGACTGCGCTTCATTTTCTCTGGAGTTTTGGAATCTAAAATGGCACGTTTTTCCACAAGTTTCGAGTGCTCAGATTCCTGGGTAAAAAGAAATCCAGAACAGTTACTTTCCAATTCAGTCTAACAGTTAAACATCCAGATGCATTGAGTTCTCATGGGGATTACTAAGGATTGAGGTGCAGTCTTCATTCTTCTGTTCTTACCAAGTGGTTTGTACTTTACCTTACTATTCACATTTGAAGTAACTAATCTCAGTAGACACAAATTTCAACTAATTCAAGCACATTTGAAATTAGCTAGAAGAGTCACTGGCTTAGTTGTGTGATAACTCACATGCACACACTGAGGTAAGCTAAGATTTACGCACTCAGTATCTCCAGGGGACATCTTCAACTGGGAGCTCTTCCCATTCAGTTCCTAGCAGCAATTCCCAGGCCTGTGTTTGCTTATGTTGCTTAAGCAAATATACTAGGCAGCAGAGAACTTAAAATTGGAAAGTTCACAAGAGAAAATAAGAAGTAGCAGAAGGATACACCTCAGGCTATTTGATAATAATATAGAATAAGAAAGAAAATGACATGCTTACAAAACATTTAAAACAAAAGCTGTTGTTGCTGTATTAGATTAAAAAAACCAAACATTAAATCTTGCTATGTTCCTCCGAAGCTCTTAGCATACACACAGTGAAAGGCAATTAGAAGTCTTGCATTTTAAATGCTCTAGAGCTAAGTACTTTAAAATTGACAATTTATTTATTACAGTGACGGGAAAAGCTGTTAGAAATCTGTTAATTCTTTCAAATAGCTAACTAAAATAGTTTTCTTCCCTATTCAGATGCAACACAGCACTCACCTGTTGTGCAGTAGCTGTTGTTTCTAATATTTCTGAGAGTGTATCCCCTGGCTGTGTTCGTATCATATCCACAATAAGTCTTTTGGTCCTTTTAAAAAGGATATATGGATATTAGAAAACAGTTATCAAAGGATCATCACTGCATTCAATTTATTAAACAGTAAAACTAGCAAGCATGCCATTTATACTTGGTAATGCTTAGTTTCTTGTATTTCAGATATTCCACTGACAACTGAACATCTGACTTCTGCATAGTCAAGAAGAGAGGTATGCACATAGTTTTCTCTCTTTCATTTTAGAAAACTTTTCACCACTTAGCATAGCAAAACAGCAGCCTACATGAGTAGTTTAATTATGATCATGATATAACAGGAGGAAGAAATGTCATACTTCTGTAGTCTGAATTAGGCAGGACCATTAAGGATCATGTTTACAAAATGAAGTGGAAGAGCCCTCAAAGCTGCTGAACATCTGAAGGAGTTGTGCAGCTGTCATAAGGCATTGATGTTTCTCCAATGACTTGCACATGGAGCTCGTCCTCACCAAAAGAAGGAAAGCTGTTGCACCCTGATATGTAAACGAGTTCTTTTTTGGTAGAAGCTTATCTATAATACTTCGAGGAAAGTCCCTCCACAGAACTGTGTTATTTAGAGGGCACCATTACAAATGAGATGCAGCTCATTGTCCTTAGGAGTCAACAGAAACCTGAAGATGCAACTTAGGTTTTTAAGTAACACATCTTTTGTGATAAAACCTCAACTTTACATGGGTAAATGACCATTTTAAAAAGGGGCGGAGTTTTTTTGCTATGTTCGTCAACATTGGTAGTTCTGACAAATATGTAATGGGGTGGAATAAAAGATATAATTATGTACAATTGCATACAACATTACAGAAAAAAGAATGCTGACTACTTGAGTTTGACTCGAACTTTTACAGAGGGAGCAGCAGAGTGGGAATGACTGACAGCACAGACAGACCCCAGCCTCACTCCTCCTGTGCCAGGAAGGTAAGCTGCTACATCAGGAAGCTCCCTTGCACCTTGAAGTCTTCTAGACAGAGGTAACTATAAATCATTGGTCTTGCCACACATGCCTTAACAAAACCATTTAAAAATAAATACATTGATATTTCTCTGGAAGAAGGTATTATTAAAGATAGAGGTAAAAAAGAAACGCATCCCATTGTTCAGTTAGCCACAGGTTATTATTATAAGCTAATACTTATTCAGGACGATTTTAAATAATTTTGAAAAAGGAATGCTAATAAATGATAATAAACGCTTTTGTGAAAAGGATTTTGACTTCATGGGTTATCCCAGTACCCATTTCTTATCAGCCAACCAAATAGAATAAACATCATTTCCTTTCCCTGCATGAAAGCATGCACTATTCATGCAAAAGTGACGGCCACATCCTGTTCCATTGGCTGATGGCAGTAGCTCAGGGAACAAGTTGTGGGGGGAGGAGACAACAGTAATACTGTCCACCCATACACACCTAAATAGATTTTCATCTTGAATTTCCAAAGGCTGTGATGTTTTAAAGCAAAATTATTTTAGAACTTCCTGGAGAAGTACTCACTAGTTGGTCTAATGGTCCAAAATACAAGTGGCAGTAAAGCTCATGGAAAGATAGAAATGTTCTGGAAGAATAGACAGTTTCTCTGACTTATTCAAAACCTGAGTACATCTGAGTACAAATTGGCTTTTGAAAATTCAAAAACACATTTAAACAAGGAAGAAACTCACATTAATATTTTTAAGAATATATATTTTTGAGCTAAACTTACTTTATCATCAGGCTTTTGAGGTCCTGATCTTCACCTTCTCGTAACTCGTATTTGCTTGTTAGAGACAATGAAATCTCTGTTTTTGCAAGCTGATTTAGCGTGCTTTCCCTGTTAGGGTCATTGGGATCAACAGACCCTTCCCCTGCAAGGAAACATCTTTCACTTCAGTTTGCCAACTTTCCCAGTGCATCAGATAAAACAATAGCATAGATAAATCACTACATTGTCAGAAGTTTTAATAGCAATCCCATTCCTACCATTCATAGCAGCTTATTGTTTTTTGAACTTTAAACCAACAAAACTGTAAGCCATCTACTACTAAGCCGACATACAATATTTTGGAAATGCCTCTAATTTCTTCTGTTTCTATGTACTGCTCTGAAAGAGAATCATACTTCTTTTAAAAGAATACTAACAATTTAACATTCTTTGTCCTAGCAGGTATGTAAAAATGAAAAACAAAATAGCTATTCACCTGTGATGTTATAGCTTCTTTCTGAACAGGAAGGAAGGCAGTTCACATTCTAACACAATTATGGCAGATTAAATGTCAGCCACATTTATTCCTTACAACCTTATAACACATTTGCGTTCTTTTAAAACTTCATTTTTATCTTGATAATTAAGTCTCAGAATTAAAATCTGCTATTTAAATTCTCTGTTCTTCTGCAACTAACAATAAATCTTAAGGTCAGGTTATTAAAAAATCATTTTCTGTCTGCAATTTGAGCGCAAACTGACAATTTTTAAAAGCACTAGCATCATATATATAAAATGTAATTCATCTTTAAGGTCAATATTGAAATTAGAAGCTGTGCATGTAACAACAATGCTGTCAAACAGAGCTGGAGGTACTGACTCTGAGCAGCACTGCACTTAGTTCCGTTATCAGAAAGCTCAGCTTATAACAAAGGATGTCAGAAGAAGTTTTCAGAGCACAATTCTATAGCAAATGAAGAGGCTGGTAACATGAAAGAGATGAGAGTTTGTATCCCTTGCAGTAATTAAATCTACTCCCTGTCTAATCCCACCCCAGAGTGATGTTAACCATGAAGATGAATAATGGCCTACCAAGGAAAGACTCCACATCAGGAACAGGTCCCAGCCCTTCCAGCAGTTCGTTCAGTAGGTCATTTGGTTCAGTGGCAATGGCATCCTGGTGTTCTAATAGAAGCTATAAACAAAAGTAAATGAAGTTCTAGACTGAAAAACATACTTGCATACAAATCTGGAGACTATATGCTAAAACACCAGACCCACTGTGATTGGTATTCTTGAGGTCCCAAAGTGAATGGGAAGGATGCTCAGTTCTAGACAATAAGTTTAGAATTGTTCCTGATGCAAAGCAGCTTATTGTGTTCCTCCTGCAGTCATTTCCAGTGCTGAATATCACAGCTGAGCACAAAGAAGTTCAAAATATACCTTCACAGCTAATAAAATATAATAAAGGGCAGTGACTCAAGTAAAGCTTTTCAGTGTTGCATCCTGAACTGAGCATGTAGAGGGATGAAGACGGGGTCAGTAGTGCATAGGAAGATGCCTTACACCATCCCAGGTTTCTAAATCTTTTAAGTACTGCAAACTATAGTCAGTCAGAAGTTGTTAGACAACTAAAAACTCAAAGCCAGTATTTCAATTTTACATAAAAAAAAAACAGTTAATGAGAATTACAGGCCTGTAATTTAATTTTTCCACTCCGAAGTGCAGCAACTGCGCCACAGTGTACATAAAGATTATATTGTGAGAATTGCTGAGAAACACTGGTCATACTGGGTAAAACTCCAAAATAAATAATGCTATTCAAGTACAAATGACAAATACTTTCACAGAACAGATTGCTCGGTACAAAGGTGAGAGACACAGAGAAGTGCAAAACAAACCTGACAAATCCAACAGATCTCTCATTCCAACTACATCCTATGAAGTTGTGCAACCAAAACAAATGTTAAACAAGCATCACCAGGGATGACAGAGGGCAGATATGAGAATTTTGTTTTTTAAGCTGAATGGCATACAGCAGAAGATGGGATGTTTATTCATCTCCTGTTGTTCAAACTAATTTTTGAGCTGCAGTACAGGAAGTTGAATTTGTATTCACATTACAGGGAAGGTATAGTGAGAGAAGATGAAGGCACACAGGAAGTTTGGTGGAAGGGGTGGTACTGGTTATCTGTGCTAGATTTACTGCATTAAGAGAATGTGCAGTATTCAGACTTGACTGCTTGCTTTCTCTAGGCATACAGCTGTGTGTAGTGGTCATGTTTGAAGTCATCAGTCTCATTGATCTCCTTTCTTTAGTGTCCACAAAATTGTTTTACATTTTGTATTTTGTGAAGAAATATAAAATAGCATAGTAATTAATCACTTACGGTTCCATGAGCTTCACTAGAAGAAGTATTTGACTAAGATTATCATAAAGAAATAAGTCAATGACTTAACAAAATTTAAAAAAAAAATACCCACAGAGACAAACCGCCTAAGATGTTTTTAGCAATCAAGGCTATTTATTTTCAGTTGAATAAAGCCAACTTGCACTCTGGTGTACTGGAAGCATACTATTTTTCTGTAATCTATCAGACAAAGTTATGGGGAAGTTCTTCATTGTTCTCTACCATGCCTTCCCATCTCCCTTTTTTTTTTTAAGCTAGAAAATGAATAATGTTACACCCCCCCCCCCCTCCCAGCTTTATGAGTACCATGTGGCAGACATTTAACTTACATCCTAATGAGTCATACTACAGACTGCAGTTAATCTGTTCTTTACCGAGCATAAAGAACTGACAGGAAGCCACAGCTTCAGTCCATTCTCAATCAGACATTTGCATCTGCTTCCAGCACAACAAATGATGTAAGAGTCAGAAAATGCACTGAGTTTTCCTATTTTCCCAGAGGAACAGTAACTTCAAATTAGACTCACTGTCTTAACCAAGATGACAAAGTATATTTATAAATATAGGTTAGCAATGCCACACTCGATGAAAATGAAAATGTTCCCCACATCATACATTATCATTCAAGATAATGAGTGGAGGTAGTCTTATAGGAAAAGGAAAATCTAATACTTAATTCCACAGTGTTTCAGGTACTAAAGAAATTATTTCAAAAGAAAGAAAAACAGATTTTACACTTTCCTCAGAGACAATTTGTTCCAATTATTTATAATCCATACAGCTCAGGTCTCCTGATAAGTATATTCACTTACCGAGTGGGTATTGATAATTTCTTCAATAGAGATATATATGACAGGTTTGCTGAGGGTCACCATATCAGAGTATTCATCGATATTGAATTTCTCCTCTGGTTCAGGAACATCACATGCTGCCTGAAAAAAATTCCTGGGAAGAAAAAAAAGATAAATAATTGAGAACAATAAATAATTGTTTCTCTTCTTTAATTAGGGTATACATAAAACACAATCAAGTCTTCAACATGTGTTATATTTCTCTTATAATCTGCAGTCAACACTTTGTGTTGATGTAGAAATATATTGTCCCTGACAGATTTCTTCAAACACTGATGATGCTTTACGGCTGTTGAAATGTTATTGTTAATGTTAGATTTTTACCCTTACTCAGCAAGGAGTGATAATCTGACATTTTTCAAATGTTTATAGAGGTCTGAATTTAGTGCTTTAAAAGTTATATCTTAAGTTTTCATGGAAATAACTTCTATTTGAAGTGAAGAGCCCAGGAGACTCAGTTTTGAAAGAAGTTGGCTTCATTGGAAGAGAGATTCTTCCTCTTGTAGTAGTCAAAGAGCCAACTCGCATACATTCTCTCCTTCATTAACTTTTGTTATTCTTGCTATACTTTCTATCCTATTCTTCATGTTTATGGCATGCTCTTAAATAGCATCTTCAATAAATAGAAAGACTAAGCTGCATAAATACCCTTGTGTTCATGGCTGCTCTCTCAAGGAAACCCATTATATATGCTATTATATATATATAACAGTACATTTGCTTTCATTAAAGATGGATGGTAAAGACATATGTTACAAAAATGAGCTTGTCACAAGACAGAAGAATAGTGCAAGATAATAGCAGCCACCCCAAAAGATGGGTCATAATCCCAACAAATATGTGTCCCTGAGTGTAACAAAACAGTTTCCTATGACAGTACAAAGATGTAAGAATAAAATTTTTTCACAAAAATGAAAGATTAAAAATGGAAAAAAGCAACACTTTCATCTTAAGTCTTTTTGCCAGAAAAAAACTTTCAGTTCTGGCTGAGGAGCACACTGTTTCTGTATTTGTGGCAATCCTACTGCAACCAAATCAGCAGGGCTGATCAGTAGTCCGTGTAAAACTCAAATAGAAATACAACATGCTACTACTTGAACTTCTGCAGCGATAAATTCTCTCAATTTTAACTCTGGGCATGGCAGATCAATGTATTTTTATTTGTTTATTTAAGAATTCACATGAACTAGTTTGTCTGCCTTACTCATTCTAGAAGAGTGTTCTTAGTGTTGCACTGTACAGCTGTTAGTCAGAGCTTTCCATACCTGAACTTCTGGTATGTCTGTGAGAGGTAAGTGTTCATAGATGACAGATGTTCACTCTCTCCTTCAAAGAGTTTGTTAGAAGCAGCGTGCTGAAGGACTTTTGCCACACAACCCAGATTCCTCCTCTGGTCAGGGTGTATCTGGCCCCCAGCTGTCATATCAATTATATCAAAACCATCAGGAGCAACAATGGCAGGGTTCATGTAGCGATAGTAAAGGAGGTTTCCAACAATCTAAGAAGATGAAGAGAACTTCGCTTTACATACAATAATTACATTTTACTATATTTTACAAGTCATTTTTGACTTGGATCACACAAACTGTTGGTAGAAAATGATGAGAAAAGATTCCTGGGATGTACGTGTTACCTACATGGCCAACTGAAAAGAGTCTGTGGTGTTTTATATGATGCAGTCACAGTAATGGGCACTACGTCCATTAATTACAGAATAATTAAAAAACAAGCATGCATACTTCCATGCCATCAATCACTTTCTTGTGCAAACTCTTCCCAAAATATTTAGCAGTGACATGAAGTTACCAGAGTAATCAGAAATAGAACTGCTTGATTTAAATTAGAATATTTCTATTAAAGACAACCATCTGGTATTGATTGTCAGCAACCTACCAGACATGCTTCAAAGTCTTCTAAATTCATATTCCAGCTAGTGCCAGAAACCAAGACTATTTATAGTTTGTTATTTTTAAACACTAGAGTAAAATACTCAGTTTAAAATGGCTCTGAGATGTCTATTTAACTATTATGGATGAGAAAAATTAAATGCTTCTTTCACCACAGATTTTTCCAATACTTCAACAAGCGTCCAAAAACACTCACTTAACACAAAAGGTCTAGTCCATTAAAGTACTAAATGCCATATTAACACAGGAGTGGAATCAATTTTTTGTCCTAGCAACTCCTGAAAGATCACGTGTGCATCCTTAAGATCAGTTCTTACTTTCATTAGATTTTGCCAACAGGAAAAAAAAAAATCATATTCCTAACCTTTGATCTTCTCTGTATTTGAAAATTTTGCCTTTTAAAGAATCTCCCAACATCAGTAATGGATTTGTACAATCAGATTTCACTTTGGTACTGCTGTCTTTATACAAGACAATGTAACACACTGAATTGAACACATACGACTGTTCTTTCATGCACACTTTGGTAGGTCCATCTCCATAGGTTCATTTTCTGGAGTGCTACAAAAGCTATATTAATTGGCAAGTCCCTTGTTTCTAAAGATATTAGAAACTCCTTGTTTCTAATATCTTTAAAGAGACTAGACAGCAGGTTTTCCAAAACTGCACTCAATAGCAATCTTACAATGGTTTGTATCATGCAGATGGCTATTTCAGATCCCTCTTAGTTACAGAAACAGGACTTTTTTCTGCAGTTAGCCTCAGGTTATGTGTAGTCACCTGCAGAACCTCCAGCTTACATAGCGTTCACACATAGATGCCTCATGTTCATTTTCTTCTTATTTTCAAAGCTGAGCAATACTTCAGGCTGTATTGCTGAAGTGACAGTTGGAATTACTTGAGAAATGCTGCCTGCAAGAGTTTCCAGGCAGTTTTTTCTGCTAGAGCACAGAAGCAGAATTATTTTTTTAGCTGAGGAATCTGAAGCATTCAAATTGGGGACTAAGAATTTTATTTATTTATAAAGACACTTATCCTTTGGAAAGATAACAGGAAAGTCCCATTGAAACAAATATCTTGCAATTTCAGAACAATTTAATTAAACACTAATAAAAGCAAATTTGAAAATTCTATTTATTTAAATGCAAGTAGCTCTAATGTGAAAGTTTGCAGTCTCTCAATTGGCTGTTGACTCAGTAGGCAAGTTTCCTAAGGCCCTCTAGAGAGGCACCATGACAATGACAGCCTAGGGTTGATCACTATGCCAGTACTGTGCCCTTCACTCATGCTTTTCAGTCTAAGCCTCATTTCCACTTTTACAACCATTTTAAGTGAGTGTATTTCAATGAAAGGATATAGCAATAATTTGTTCTGAGAGCTCTTTCTCTGCCTTTAATTTACAAACTTTTTTTCCTGTTTATGACTTTAAATATGTGAAGTTCAGGAAGAAAAAAAAAAAAAAAAAGACCACAGTGTTTTTCATTTAAGGATTGCTGGTGGGGTACAAAACAAGAAAGATATGTCAGAAATTCCAACCTGGTAAGAAGCATTATTGAATTGGCTTTCCAGAACAGGTCGGGCACTGTCACTAGGAATTGCTGAGGACGCAGACTAAGAAAGGTTGTAGCAACAGAATTCCCTTCTTTTCCATTACCCCTTCACAACTTAAGTAATGCCAGATTCCTTCAACAAAGATTGGTGTTCTCAGTTCCTCAGAATGATAGTACCAAATAAAAATCCCTTTTGGCATTAAAAGAACATGCTGTTAGCACTTTGTTGTTGGAAATCTACCTTTAGCAGTTCGTCTTCTGTTGCATCTGGGAATTTCTCATGGAGTGAGCTCTTCAGAACTTTGGCTATATATCTCATTCCATAACTACATGTGGAATGGAACAGATGAAAAGTAAAACAATGAAAAGACTTTCATGAAACAAACAAATCATATTAGTAACCCAAGTTATTGGCTCTTTCTTCAGCCACTTAAAACACAAAATGAGGCAACATTGGAAAATACAAGAAGTTTCAAGACATTCACAAAACCAAAGCAAAGCTGAAGTGGGGAAACCACTCCCTCTACTGGGAATGTCATTTGAGAAGCACATATCAAGCCATGTAATTGGAAAGTATCACCGTTGGTGAAGTCTGCATGAAGCTTCACAGCTCACGTGAACAGAAGCTGGGAGAGACCTCACTCAGCACTTACGGCATCATACTGAGAGATGAGAATATAGTTGTGAGAACTTTGTCAGTGACAGCTCGCAAACTCTGAATCGATGATTCCAGTTTATTGACAACTTCTGTGTGCGCTAATGCTTGTTCTGTGGTAACATCATATGGCAATTTACTGTGAAAAAAACAGACATCGGACCATGCTAAATATATTTGAGAATGAACATTTGTCTTTTTTCTTCACAGGGACCATCACTGAACACAAAAAGGAGGCATGACAAATACAGCTGAAGTTTGCAACAAACATTTCAGGTGCCTTACCTTTTTTTTGGAGAGAGAATTTCATTTGAGTAGGAGTGGCATATGACATCATCTGCCTGCCCCTTTAAGGGGTTTTGTAAGTTCTAATCTATACTTTCTCAGAAGGACGGAACAGTACTATTAAATTATAATAATACCTGGGTAAATCTTTTCATGGCGTGATTAACTACACACAAAGATGAAATACGTGACTTCTGAAGTTCATGACCAAGAAAGTGATCCTTTTGTTGTTCAGATCGGCTTAAAGTAAAATATTACAAGCACTCCTTTCCAAGAAAACTTCTCATTGTGCTTCCAAAAGGTGCAGGAAGGAAGTATGGATATAAGCACTGTTTGCCAGAGAAGTAAAGAGGGAACTGAACTGAAGGATCCCTCAGGTATTCACGAGATGGTATGATATATTTATCTCCCCACTCACCTGGCCTCACCAGTCTGCATTTCTAGCTGGTTTACCCATGACTTGTACACATCCACGGGACTAGTGTTGATTATGAGGGATTTATCCTCCATGATCTCTTTCACCACTGGTGCCAGGAGCTGGCGCAGAGTGTTCTGTCCACGAGCACCTCGGTTGAAGCTGACAACCATCTTAATGACAGTAGGGTTTCCAGTGACAATGTCCTGTATCTGGTCTACCTTAGAGCTGTATCAACAACAGAAGAGTTCTTAGATCTTATATATGCAGTTATCTATGTTTGCATGTTGAAACATTTATGCTGTCTACTTCATATAATTTTGTCTTACAGAACAATCTAACAGTTATTCTCTGAATGCTGATATGAGTTAATGCTTGTGCCTGGAACAGAGCATAGTGAGTGATCAGCAAAATATCTATTCTGAGCTGAAATACCTGTGAAATGCAAGGTTTTATTTTCTCCCCACCAATTCTGCATTTTCAGAACATACGTTTACTTTTCTCACCCTTAAACTCCTAATCACAAAAGCAAAAAGCCTTACCATTTACTTTTTCAAGCAACTCTATAAAAAATATTCTCCATCATAGAAATATAGTTGTTGTTTTTTTTTTTTAAACTGGAAATAGCTTAAATTAAGAAACAAGTAATTATTTTGAAAACAAATTACATATATACATGGTTTTACAGCAACTGAAAAATTTAACAGAATTATTATCATTATTCAGATATGACAAATAAATTGAACTATTTATAAGATAACTGAAATTTTGTAGTAAAAGCATATACTTTATCTCCTCTTCTAAAGCAGTTTTAAAAAGTTTGAGAAGTAGATATTCTTCTCGTTGGTTGGATGCATAGTTGTATAGAGTGAAGATGACTGTATCCATAAATTTGGTTGATTTGTTTTGAGGCATCTGGAAAATCAGCTTCGCCAGATAGGTGGGATTAGTCTACAAAAAACAAACAAATTACCTCACTATTTTCCGAGACAAACAGCATTGTATCTTGCACAATTCATGGATAATAAGGATTTTCTCAGTTACAGGAAAAACTAAAAAAAACTGGAGATAACATTTTACAGTGGTCTGTATACTACAATCCATTGGAAATCTTTTTGCATTGTTTACTCTTATAAACATTAGAATACAGTAAGCACTTATGTTTTTCTTTAGCAATTTGCTGCCATATTGATTTCTACCTTGACTTACCTGTAAAAGGTAGAATAAATGTTGATAAGCCTCCAGTTTTTTTCTTCTCTCTTTACTCAAGCCTTTTATACCCTGTTTGTCAACCATAACCATCTCTTCTAGCTGACTTTTGCTCTTTTTATTAAGCTTCTTACTATGTAATACCACATCCTGTAGACAATGAGATACAAATTTAGATACTATATTCACTAAAAAAGCAAAAAGATAAACATTTTTTCAATACTTTAAAGATATCTACAAGATAATTTATTGAGAACTTAGTACATTTTGTTACTGTAGTCCCTAATCTTTTGAACATCTTTACCTTGCCACCAGTATAGCTATGCAACAGTGACTGTCTGGGAAACACAGTCTCACTTAAAGACTCATTCATCCTTTAATTAATGAACAAGATCTCAAATATGATCAAAGGACTATTCCACTCTACCACAGGAAAAATGCTTAAAATCTGCCAAGCAATTACCACTTGGAGTGACATTCAATAGCAAACAGATATACTGCCTGGGACAACAGAGCAACTTGTTACACAAGCTATTTTGACAAGGTTACTTAAGACAAGCAAAGGAAGACTTTATTTTCCAATTTTAACTAATTGCAAGTGATCATGTATTGGTAAGGTTGCCCAGAGTTTGAGGCGTCTCTCTCCTTGGAGATACTGAGAAAACATCTGGACAGCAACCTGGGCAACCTGCTCTAGGTACCCCGACTTGAGATTACTTCCATCATCACATCTTCTAACTTTTAATCTCAAGCTCCTTGAGTACGTGGAAGTGGTCAGTACATGCTGCTGGGATGCCAAAGGAACCTGAGCACAGCCTGCTGACCTGAAGAGTGATTCTGTTTTTCACCAGAAGTCCAATCTTTATATCCATTAAATTCAAGTCCTTCTCCAGCTGTTGATTGGATCGAATCTTTGTAACTACTTCTTCCCTTAATCTTGTTACTTCCAGTTCTTCTTGAAAATCTAAGTCACTTTGGTCCAAGAGGTAAGCAAATTTGCGCAGGACAGGCAAGGGTGGATTTTCAGCACCAACTGAAAAGTTGAAATAAATAGACTTTTTAGTTAGCAATAATAAACACTGCAAAACTCAGGAAACTGATCAGTGTGGAGGAAATCCGAACTGCAGAAAAGAAGGTTATGCCACTTAGAGCAAGAATTGAATATTTGTCATGCTATTTAAGTACAGCTATATAAAATAGTTTCCCATTCTTCTTCAAAAGCAGGTGCAAGTAGTTGTAACCTGGTGTTTTTCACCTCTACTAAAAAGTCCTGGATGAAAGTTTTTAAAAAACTGATTGATAGTCACATACTTTCTCCCAAACATCCAATAATTAAGTTTTAGCACTTACTTAGTGTCCTGTAATCCTCCCTGGCTTTGTTTGCTCTGAGAAATGCTTGTATCTTCACGATTTCTTCATTCTGGAAGGGACAAAAATCAAGAAAATAATTAAGTTAGGACACATTTCTGTTCAGAAGCTTACTGCAGAGCCTGCAGTCTCATTGCTAAGATTCTCAGAAACACTCATCTGTCATATTACCCCTACTTTATTTCTCCATGTTCAAAATGAAGAAAAAAGACTTACATGATCCTTGAAGTATTGCAGCCTCTTTCTGTAAGCTGTCCTTGCTAGCCACATTTTGACCCACGACTGAATCTGAAAATTAAATTACAGCTTAAGAGACACTGCAGAAATGATTTGTGTGTAATTGAGTGCATGCATTTTAAACTCGTTTCTGACAGTCCTCTGCTGTAGGCACTGTTTTCAGAAGTTTGGGACCTTAGGTGATTGCAGCATTAGGCTCCTACAATTCAGTGACCAAATTAAAAGGTTTTAAATAAAATAGCAGGGTGAATTTGATGCTCTAAGAATATGCCTAGCATTATCTTTGGAAGTAATTCCTATCTGCAAGCCTAAGCTGTCTTTTGTAAATGAGCCTCCCTCAAAAGAGATCAATGTCCTGTTTGCAATCCACTCCTGACCATGTCCTATCAGTCCAAGATAAGCAAACATTTTTCAGACACATTATGCAGCTTCTAATGAAATAACACTGTCAGTTCCAATATTTTGTAGCTTAGCATTAAGAAAGGGAAGTGTAAGGAAATCTATTTTGAGCCAGTTATGCTCAGCAAAGCCTGACAGAGTTTAAACACCCAGCTTTCAATAGACTTTCTGTTTCCTAAAGCTGTCAATGACTTTCAACACCATGTCAACATCTGGAGCACAAGGTCAACTCATTTTCTGCTGCTTGCCTCAGATTCCCAGGCACCAGAGCACCAACTAAAGGGATGAAGCATACTCAGATCCAGAGGCTCAATGTAATCTTACCTTGACAATAGCAGCAACATTGCTTTGAAGCACCTTTAGTCTGTCAACATAGCTTTTCCTTTGTTTGAATCCTTTCCAGAAAGCCTATAAGCAAGAGACCATTACAACTAATAAGAGACAAAAATTTATTCAGGTCTATGTGCAAATGCACTGAAATCACTAACAAAAAAGTACCACATACAGAAAAACTGTCATTGTAGTAACAAGTTAATTAGCCCATGAGTAAGCTTGCTTGTATTTTTATGGTGCCCTGACACATTGCTCTTTTCCTAATCTCATTCCTAAGACGCTGGAATTCCTAAGTCATTCAGTATCATCACCTTGTAACACAGACAAAAAAACCTCCCAGTTTCCTCATTTGGCTCACTTTGGTGGTTCAGAAGCAAACTCTGGTAAGGACCTCAACAAGACAGATAATATGGCCTCAGGAGTTGAATAAATTGTTTCTCAAAAGAGGTGGCCTTTTACTCAAAAAGTCCAAGTAATACTGCCAGAGCCCAAGAATACCAGGTTAGCTGCCACTCCCTACCCAGTTATGACTTCATGGAGCACAGGCAAACCACTTACAAGTTTGGATAGTGTAGAAAGGAATGCATTTCTCAAGTTATGCTTTGCCAAGGAATTTTTGCATCGATACTCAATGAAGCTTCTGATTTTGTCTTGTGTATAGCTAGGTATCCCACACAAGATTTGAGCACCTCAGAATAAAGCCAGGGCTATGTATTTAAACATTTTCCATTTAAATAGTTTAGACTGCAGGTGGGTATGATCCACTCTTTGTAGACTGGGGGTTTGCTATTTAAAGGAATGGACACTCCTACTAGTATGGGAATGCATGAGCAGAAGCAGAGGACTGTATTGCTGCTAAAGAAAATAGATTGAGTTAATATTGTCAGCAGTGATCAGCCACTTAACCTGTCACATGCATAAAGTATCCCAAGCCAGATCACCTTCTTGTTCCAATACAGTACCTGTATTTTGATGGCAGATGGTTCCTGGTTTTGGAGGTATGCTTTTCTGTCCTGAAAATTCCTTCTGACTAAGAATCCCCTTGCTTGGGCTTGCAGCTGAACAATCAGACTTTCATTAGCAAGCCACAACTGCTCCCGATTGTAGTCTGCTGTAACTTGCCCAACAATGTTCTGTTTAGAAATCACAGAAAAAGGTCATTTAAAAGGAGCTAAGCAAAAAAACCCTGTCAAAGTCAAAGCCATTCTGAAATCTGGTCTGTATTCTCTCTATCTGTATGGCTTATCAAATCGTAGAATCAGAATTTTTCAGGTTGGAAAAGACCTTAAAGATCACCAAATCCAGCCACAACCTAACTCTAACAACCCTCCACTAAATCATGTCCCTGAGCACCACATCAAATGGTTTTTAAACACATCCAGGAATGGTGACTCAACCACCTTCCTGGAAGTGTTCATCACATACAATTCCATACAACTTTCCCCTATATTTTAATCAGTGTGAATGCTTATAGGGGCTGCTCTGAAAGTAATGTTTCCTATTTTATGATGTTTATCCGTACTGTCAGAGGCAAATGTTGGTAGAGCAGTAGAGGTTGGACTGTCCACCAGTATCCCATTACATTTTGTTGCCATGTGACAGGTGGCAAGAGAGGAACAGTCTAACAAAGTAGTGTGTCTGACATGGAAGGGCATGTGAAGCAAAGGTATGTCATTGAATTCCTTCATGCAGAAAAAAATGGCAACCACTGATGTTCATCAACATTTGCTGAATGTTGATGGAGACAAAACAGCGGAGTGCAGTGAGGCAGTGTGTGGTGCATTTCAGCAGTGGCAAAAGTGATAGGAAGACACATTCTGGACAGTCATGCACAGCTGTCGCACCATAAAATGAAGAGTATCTCGGTCAGTTCATCTATTCAAATCAGTGACTTACGACCACAGAATGTTATGTGTTCAGAAATGACTATTGGCTTCAACATGTGGGAAATGGTGGTGGCAACATTGGAATATCTCAAAGTTTGCAAGAGGTAGCTCCCATGAATGCTTACACAAGAACAGAAAGAACACTGTATGCATATTTGTTAGGACCTACTACTGAAGGCTGAAGGTGGCAGTTTCCTGGACTGTATAATTATAAGCAGCGGTGTCACCACTACAAGCCAGAGTCAAAACAGCAGTTCATGGAGTGCTAACATGAATTTCCCACTGAAGAAAAGGCTCAAGATGCAGCCCTCAGGAGGTAAAGTGCACTGTTCTTATAGAAAAGGAAAGGTGTGATCCATCTAGATTTCTAAAGTACATGAAGGACATGAAGCTCTTAGGTCCAGAGGAGGGCCACTAAGATGATCAGAGGGCTGGAGCACCTCTACTATGAAGAAAGGCTGAGGGGACCGAGCTTGTTTAGCTTGAAGAGAAGGCTCTAGGGAAACCTCATTTTGGTCTTCCAGTGCTTGAAGGGAATGTATAAACAGGAAGGGGAGCAGCTGTTTACGAGGATGATAGGAAAAGGGGGAATATTTTTAAACTGAGACAGGGGAGGCTTAGGTTAGATATTAGGAGGAAGTTTTTCACTCAAAGGTGGTGATGCACTGGAACAGGTTGCCCAAGGAGGATGTGGATGCCCCATCCCTGGAGGCATGCAAGGCCAGGCTGAATGTGGCTCTGGGCAGCCTGGTCTGGTGGTTGGCGACCCTGCACACAGCAGGGGGGTTGAAACTAGATGATCATTGTGGTACTTTTCAACCTAGGCCATTCTATAATTCTATGATTTCCTGGAACACAGACAAACCATCAATTTCAACCACTACATCATGATGAAGGCTTGAACTTGCAGAGTCAAGCCAGAGAAGAAGACAACCTTGCTTTTAAAACACAATAACACCAGGTCCCATCTCAGTGTGAGGATGGTGGAACACACTGACAAGCTTGGCTGGATTGTGCAACCACACCCACTATATGGTCCAGATTTGGCATCCTCTGACTTTCCTTGGCCCAAGCAGATGGAAGATGGACTTCAAGGGCAACATTTTCCTAACAATGATGCCGTCAGAGCAGCTATGAAACACTGGCTGATCTCTAATGTTGCCGAATATATATTATATATTTTAAACAAGCATGGCATGCAGGTTCTTGTTCACTGCTGGAAAAAATGCTTAGTTAATAGCGGTGATTGTGTTGAAGCAAGTTCTTTTGTAGTTGAGAATTTCCACCATCAAATAGTACCACTGTGTTCCTGTATCTGTTGTAGTTTCCACAGAAATCAAAAGGAGGCATTATTTTCAGAGCAACCTATGTACTTTGCTACTATTTCATGGGAGGTATCTACTTCTTTCAAGCCTGATATGCTATATTTTGGGGAAGAGAAGGGGTTTTTGTTTTTTTTTTTTAATATACTTCAGGATTCAGAGTTCTGCCTTCCTAATACTTCTAAGATTTCTGTAGAAGTCAGTCATCTAGAGCTGTTTACTGTACCAGGGAGTCTGCCTACAGAAACTCTCTTGAATACAGTCAGAATTTGTGAAGGACCTACATTGTGAGTTCAGCTGTTTGTATAGCATAAAAATAAAACAGTGTTTACTCTTGCACCCAAACACGTCATTAATTTCTTTGTCATGAGACAGTATGAAGACAAAAATGTGTAAACTAATCAGACTTCCCCACACCAGTGTCTATTGGCGGATATTAAAAACAACACTGTAGCCTTCCATTAGGAAGTCTGTAAAGCACTGCTATAAGAAAACCACAAGAGACTGCAATTACAGTCATCTTTGACAGAAGACGCTGCTATTGTCAGAAGCAGATACTGAACTAAAATGATCTTCAGTCTCACCCAGCACAGCTTCTTGCCTTGATGCTGCCATATCTTGTTGTCTGTCCCTCAAGTATGCTTCATTAGCTTGCAATCAAAGTAAATGTTTTAGCCACCTACCTGGATTTCTTCAGCAGTTAACCAGGAAGTTTTTGGTACAACTCCTTCAGGGACAGCACAGGTACCTTCCTCAGTTTCCACATTGTAGTAGTAACTATACATATTTTGCATTATGAGTTTAATCCATGGACTTTCATTAGAATCTGAAAGCAATATATGCTGTTATCAGATAGGTCTCATTACACTGATAACTTACAGCTTTCTCTATCCACTCCTCATCTCTACATTTAGCTACAGAGCCATTTTATATGCAAAGTCACTATATAAGGATGTTTCAAACTATCTTATTACATGGAACAGCATCACTCTTTTAGAACAAAATATCTGTATATTTAGAGATTTGTACACTGTTGGCTTCACCAACTCAGCACACTATGCTTTTCAGCTTAATGCTGAAGCAGCATATGCCATGTTTCCCATTACTTTCCAGAAAAAATGCAAGACTACTTCTAGGAAAACATTCTTGCCATCTTCTGGCCAGACACTGGGCCTTATTGACAGTGAGCTCCCACCAGAGATATCCTGTGTCCATATCACTGCCTTTGATAAACAAGGCTGCTTCCTGAAAAGCAGGAAAAACCTCATTTCCTCATGGACAAAAGGCCCTAGAGTATAGCTGATAAGGTCAATTGTGCAAAACGCCATCTGCAAACTCATGTTGCAGGTTTCTCTTTTAAACTACACTGTCCATAAATGGGCCATGGACACTCCAGCAGAGCCTGACCTTTTACAGTAGCCCTTGAGGCTGAAGCACGCAGTATAACACTTGCCTTTGTCTGCTGACAAAATCAGGGAGTAATGTGATTTTCTGATGGGATGCACTACTGATATTCAAAGAGAATTTTCTGAGTTCTCTCAAAGGTTAATTTGATCTTTGACTCTAGTTGTAGCCAGACTTATTCCATCAGCATGCATTGTGCTCTGAACGATGCATGCAACAGTTCACCATCAGGTTAAAAGCACTTGGGCATGTATAGCATTTCTCAAAGCATTTCAAAAATTAGCAGCCACCCCCTCACCCTCTCCTCCCTTCCTCCCCCCCCCCCCCCCTTAATTTACAGTGATTTTAAGCCACTCTACTATGCCAGTTTCCCAGTTGCCTCAGTGACAGTGAAATACCAAACTGTCCTGTTCAGGACAACTTTTACCATCTTTTGTTTTCAGCTTTTGGGCTTCTGAGAGGTTCTTGAAATAAGTTTCAGCACATTCTGAAGCAACTCGTAAGCCAAACTTGGACTGCAGTGTCATCAGGATTGGCTGTGAATCACCTTTCTCCAAGCTCTTGTTAATCATTGAAATCCCAACAGCCACTAAGGAAAAATAAAAACAGAAATAAAAACATGTCCACTGATCTATCCTCTAGCAACTCTCATAATGGATTTCTGTGCTAGTGCACAGCCAGCATGCCACACACAGCAGTTCAGTGTTTTTATTGCCTCTATCACACTCACAGGGATGAGTATTTCAGAGAACAGCTTTCCAACAGGCAGGAATGCTGTCACAGCAGACTGAGAGCAGTGAGGGCAGATCTGCTCCCCAGTAGAACAGCAGCTGACATCAGGACAAGGTCTGAGAGGTGTTCCTCACTCAACCTGCCCAGCAGGCACCACATCACCCAGGAACCTGACAGAGATGCAGATTCAATTTTGGCAGGAAAAATTGGAATAAATTCCAATTGTCTTCAGCAAAGTTTTGTAATACTGCAGCATCATAGTTGGGATCCTGAAGCAAGTGTTCCTCACCCCTCAAACTGGAAGTTGGTCCCACACTGGTGCAGTGAGCTCATGCTCCTGAGTTTGTCAATGAAGCAGATCTTGCTCTCAGGGCACACAAAAGCAATGTTGTGAGACATGCTCTAACTTTCAGGTACACTAAGTTACCCATATGCCACAATTCAGAGTTTCCCAAGCATCCTTTTCTTTGTGCAACCCCTACACCAGAGGTGAAACCTCTACTCCTGATAGTACATAGCAGCACACAACACTTTGAAAGGCTCTGCATACTAGAGGTATATATGGCACTGCTTAGAAACTACTTCTCTGATCCTAAGTGATATTACCTTACATCTAAGCCTCAAGGTGCATACACAGAGGAACAAGTATACAGTTGGAATGCCATATATTATATATCAGTTAAGTTGATGCAGCCCACTCTGCCCTTCACACTGCAGCACCGAACACTACACTTTGTGTTTCTGCACCAAGATAAAAAGGGTTAACTCTCCAAAAAAGGTCTCCCTCTCATTGCTTGGCCTATGTGTGTTTTTCCATCTAAAGTCTGACAAAAGGTGCTCAGCATCAGAAGTAAGTCCCAGCTTACATGCAGGAGGCACTCTGTGGGACTGTGCTAGCAGGACATCATCTCAGCAAAATACAGTTTTCCTCGGTGGTTGGTTTGACTCAAGTGGAATGGTTATACTCAGCTTTGTCTGAACAGAAACAGATCCACCTCCACAGAACACAGCAGCCAGCTCAGAAACAAAGGGAGTATACAATATCACACCATTACCATCTGGACCTCCACCAGATCGCATCCTGGTATGTTTTTGTGCTTCAAAAGAAGGGTGCTGTGCTAAGCACATGCTTCCCATAAGGCTGTAGTAAGTCATGGCCAGCTGTGGTATGATGGTGCCCAGGCATACAGCCTTAGCGGTGAGGAATTAAGGAAGCAGTACATTAACAGCAGCATTATATGCTGCTGGCCAAGATGGCTCAGCCCTAGTCATATATGTTCCCATCTACTTTCTCAGCTCCGGTCACTAGTAACTGAATATTTTTGTTCTTTTTTGGAGGTGCTGGAAAACACAAAAGTGGATGCAATGCAGCTAACCATTATTTCTGTAGATCCTCCGTTGCCTAGCGTTTTATCATCTTCTAACTAATCATGCCTTTATTTTAGCAGGAAAGCATAAGGAAAAAACAGCATGGAGAAAATACCAACTCAATAGAAATCGATCATTTGCACTGATGTGCTAGCAGTTAACTCTGCTGCTGCTGCTCTAATTAAGGCCCACATAGTCCTGTAACGTATGTGAGCCATAGTCGTCCCAGTCAGGCAGCGCAGAGACCTGCTCCTCCAGTAGGTCAGAACAGTGAAGGGCTCTTCTGCACCCATCCTCCCTCTAAGCAGCAAAAATACACAAAGATGCAGCTGCGCGCTGTGATAAGCCTGAGCTCTCAATGGGGCCAAAGATCAGCTCTCTTCTATAACACAGCTTTTCCAAGACAGGCACTACTTCAACAGACAGCCCCTTCCCGTTGAAGGGAACGCAGAAGGTCTGCGCTGATATCTCTTTCTGAAAGCCGTCATGCTACACAGATAATATTCGACCAATCTCATTTTGACTCCACTTGAACAAGGACTACAATGGGTGAAATAATTTGAGAGAACAAAAATAAGGTGATACAAATTGCACAGCAAACACCACAAAGAATTAACTGTTTATCAAATAGATCTTCAGGTCTTCCTGAACAAATATACAGAGTCTATTACTGTCAGGACGGTTTGTAAAGGCAATGGTTTGAAAATTTTTAATATATAAATTATTTAAAGCACTATAATAACTTGAGGAGTGTTCAAAACTCCTCCAGTGTCACTGGTCAGTACCCTCTTTTATGTGACTGCTATTGCCATTACTGCAGAAATCTAAAAAAAAATTTAGTCCAGAGTGAAACAAAAACAAGACTTACATTGCCTTTATATTTGTACACAAGTTTTTAGAGGGAAGTGTAGGAGTTGTTTGTCTTTCAAAAACAACTTCTCCGAGGTAGTTAAAAATAAAAGTTCATTTCCAAGTAATGAGTTGAGCTTTCTAAGTTTAGACTATGTGAACAGAACAAGTTAACTTCCCAAACAGGATGCATTTGTTACAGCAAGTATCAGGTTCTGTGCCGTGGGGAAATATCAGTTTTTAGTTCCAAAATCCTAGAGCACTTCTGATGAATGTGCTATTCAGACACTGCTTCATTTCAACTTGGAGAGCAGAGCACAGGATTCTAGCACTTATTTCTGACAGGGACTTCTTAAAACAGTTCTACTGATCATACTAGATTACAAAAAGTTGTGTATTTACTGTGAAAACTGGCATGGATTACGCAAAGGAAAGCTTCACTACAACAACTGGTAGCAGAGCTATGGTTATCATTTGCAGTATCACATGGTACTTATATATGGATAATAACTGATTTCTGTAAGCAATTTATGTGATCTGTTTGTAAGATTCTTACAGCAGTAGACACAAACAGGCATGTTTTCAAGTCATTCTTTAGTTCACATCTGTTTATAAGTTATGCATTTCCTTCCCTTCTCTGCGCCCAGATGTTTCCTCAGGCTTTCTCATGCCTTTGGGTAGCATTGAAAGGAACCCTCTTTTGTGGAAGAAGTGGATATCAGCTCTACAGAATACATATGTGCATCAGACCCTGTGCCACCAAACAATCAATACAATTTTGTTAGATGTGTAGTGGATGTTAAGTGTCTTCAGTACAACTCACTGGTTGAATTAGGACTACAGATCAAAAATAGTAACATTACATTGGCTGTTTCTGTACCATATAAGAGGTTTAATGCTGTAATAGATGGCCATGTTTGTTTTGCTCCACCCACGATTTTCAAAGCACTAATACTGACATAGCCTGCCTATAGGTAAACAAGTGACAGCACTGCATTAATGAAGGCTGAATACAGCAGCTGTACTTAACCTCTCAGGATGCAAAAGAAAGTGGCACAGTCTCATCCTATCTGCCTCTGGAGCCATTTCAAGCAGGAGATGACCCAGGCCAATCAGAAGCTTGAACCCTTGTCAGGTCTATGCTGGCCCAAAGTAATTACACGCTACAGGTACGTTACCAAAATAAGTTACATTACACTCACAGAAGGCATTGAGTTCATCTTGTACACAGTGTCCTGACAGACTGCACCTCAGCGTTTTTTCCTACACATTTCCTCCTTTTCAGAAGCTATAAGAATACGCACTATTCCAAAAAGCCTGAGTGTTCTTTTTAATTTCTTTTAAATACTTTTAAAGTATTTTAAAGCATATGTAATTATGTACTTTTAAGTATATGTCTCTAAGTAATTTTAAAGTGTTTTGAAGTATATGTTCCTAATCTTTATTTGCTAGCACTTAATGAAAGGCGTTACATAGAAATAAGTTGTTAGAGCAAATTCTGAAAGATTTACAACATACATCAAGGTACATACATTTAGTCTTAAAGAAGCAAAATAAACTCTTCAGTACACCTTCCCATCCTCGTTTCCTTCTATTTCAACAGATACATGAAAGTACTTTGACACTGGAAATATTGGACCCATTAACCTCTGTAATCACAGATAAAGCCAACAATAACCCTGCAGACATAAATCACCCTAAGTTCAGTATGACAAAGAATATTCATCTGTTTCTTTCAGTGTATTTAAAAGGTTGTTGCACTTCCCTGAAGTGGAAAAAAAAAAATAATCGACTTCAGTTTTTCAAGACCAAGACTAAGAACAAGAACAACACAGATGAAGCTTAATGCTTACAGATTGCAGCTTCTTTTATATTGCTATTGGCATCACTGATTCCCTTTTGTATTTCATCCAGCCACAGAACTGCTGATTCATCTTGGGTTTCCTGGAAAAGGGATAGAGAAACGCCTTACAAAAATGAATTAAAAACAGTATTTGAACATACTGATAGAGCTAACACAAACTCCTTTCACAAAGCCCTCGACCACTATTGGATTGCTTAAAATGAACAGTAAAACAAGTTCATATTCTATTTGCTGAGTAGATTAAACTGTTGCTCAAACAAAAGTTCTCAAAGTTTTCACACATGGAAGACTCCTTCCTGCTAGATGAATAGAAATTTTAAGTAGAGCTGGAAATGTCTCAATTTCCATAACACATAAGCAAAGTAATCGAAACATTAAATAAATGCAAATGTCAGCCTGCCCTGTGATAGTAGCACCAGTAGCACACAGGAAGTTAGTTTTCATTCCAAATCCCTTGTTTGAGAAGAGTGTGTGAATAAGGGCTACATAAAAAAATACTGGCAAAAGCTGGCATAAAAACCAGCTCAGGTTTAGCAGTGATAACTAAGCTTGGGTGGCAAAGGTTGCAGGAGCTGAGCGGTAGAGCAGGTCTCACTTTCTACAGGCTGACCCTGCATGATGACTTCATACCCAAAATAAAAGAGAGGGTGCCTCTTACAAGGTAATCCTTATCCCTATACTTCCAGCCTATGGCTACAATGGGCACTATTACACCTGGAAGAATGCAGGCATTAACAGCTTAAACAACCACAGGTAGAAGTTTGCAACAAAAACTGCCAGCACAAGGCAGGACCCCATGAAACTCTGGGCTGCACCAGATTCTGCCCATAGAAGCAGTAAGTGTTAGAGATTTATAAGAGACTGATGATGAGTGAAACAGCAACATACTGGTTCAGTCAAAATCTGGGAATACATATATATATATATATATATATATATATACACATACATAAATATAATGGAAAATAAAAACCAGAAAGAGATACAAAGTCAAACACTCCTGGGCAGGCAAAGAACCATCTTCACAGTGGATATTATTGTCATAGGGACCAACTCCATGTAAAAAATCTGATGAATATATTATCCATAGAAATTGCAAAAAAAATTGGGTAAAAAATGGCACAAAAACACCTCTGTTTCCATCATCTGTGTAAACACATACTAGAATATCTAAATAAAGTCAAGTGGCATCAGGCAATTGCATGACAATGAATGCATGCAAGTGTAGTAGAAAGCTAGAATTAATCCTTGAGTGTGCATTTACTGAATTCCCACACCATGACTGAATTTATAGCAAAGAATTGCGAAACTGAGAAGAATTTCTTATCTGGTGTTCAGTTTCAGCGCATTAAGTACAAAAACAGATACAAATTTTGTTCTGGAGCCAAGATCTGTTTATGCTAAGCCTTGCCACTAGCTTAGAAGCTAGACCAGAACTCACAATAATTTTGTCTGCTGGAAGCAAGCCACTGCTTCTTGGCTTAGGTGGAGGTGGTGGGAGGAGAATATGGAAGTAAATTTAAGAAAAAACAACAGAAAACACCCACACAGGCAGAGGAACTGGAAGAGATCAACAAAACAGTAAAATTTTGAGAGGCTGCAAAAGGGGAGTAAGTGGCCTGCCAGAGCAGGCAGCTGGGCTGGGATGCAGTCACAGCTGACTGTTAGGTGGATGCAGAGAAACTGAAGCATAGCAATGTTGTCTTAAGGCATATGTGTATCCCTGTGGTTTACTTTCATCTCTGCATTTTCTAAACCAAGATCACCACACTTTTCCCCACTTCTGGCCTCTCCCCAAGAAGCGTATAGAGTTCAGCAGTACAGAATTTCTGGTCTGTGGGTGTGACCTCTGAGTGTTTAGCAAACAGTTTTCCGGAAGATGCCTTTTTCCCCAAATACCTGTACATAGAAATTCCATCTGATCCTCCCCTTTTCCCTTTACTGCCATCATCTTCAGGACTGTGGTAAATTAGGAGTTAAACTGCTGCTGTAAAGCAATTTAATCTCTGTGTTGGGCAGAGGCTGAAACTGAGTCATGTGTGCATATTTGGATACGTCACACCCTCTTGCTGTAGTAGACAAAGAACAAACTAACTCCTTGCCATAAATCTCATGCCTACAGGATGCTTCGGGAGAACAGATCAATTGTGCCTTAGTGCCTTACAGACGGAAGAAAATCCCCTCCCAGCACCACTGAGATGAACTAAAACTGTGTTGCCTTTTTTTTTTGGTATCTGGATTTAGCAAACTACAATGAAGATTCTGGTTTTCACTGGACTGCTCTCTCTAACATCAACTTTTACGACAGGTCAGTTCTACTTTCTGTATAAACTTTCAATTTTAGATGATAACATTTGCTTTTTGATAACCCTGGTGCTTTACTGGCTTAAATGGGCTGTACACAATCCATTGCATTTTGCTATACTCCAGCATGTTTCACTTTAGGCAGAATTTCATTCCATTTCAGTTATACCTTGGACTACTTTTCTCTTTCCCCAGTCACTTTCAGTAAGGGGTTTTTACCTACAGAATCATTCTTTCCTTTCTGAAAACACATCATATTTATGTAGTGAGATGATACACTTCAACCTGTACGGTCACGTTCCTTCCGCTTTGAAATGTTCAACAGAACTGCAACCTCAGACTGCGTTATTAGAAGGAAATTTTCTGAGAACTGCTGTTACAAAAATCACTGAAATGACTGAACAGTAAGCCTACTTGTTTTTTAATTAATTAAAATGATAGCTGCTTTCAAATGAAGCCATTTTAGAAACTACGTTTTATATGAAACAGATATGCATACTTGCACCTATCTTTTAAATAGCGGCTAAAATTATTTTTTTTATTTATCACCCAGAAAATTACTAAAAGAGGTAGGGGCACACTAATCATGATTTCTAAATGTTCTACCAAAAACTTGCCAGATTCACGGCACTGAGCCTGAATAAAGCTATTTTCCATATTTTGTTTCAATCTGGAAGCACCCACAGGTTTTCATCCAAATTTCAACTTGCTTCTGAGTTCCAGTTTCAAGATCCACACTCTGTGCCTTGCATGAAGTCTTTTGGCATCAAACACAGCCAAGACGTTTTTTTTAGTGCAAAAATTCTTTTTGCAGCTGTTCATTCTGCAACAATTATTCTGCAAAATACTTTCGGACCATGTGTGGAACACATTCATACTTCAGTAAGAAATGTAGATGCCTTTACAAAGCTCTCTACTAAGCGTTGAGGAATAGGCATCAGTAGGAGTAACCAGCATCACTAGCTTTGCTCCCAAGTCAGTGATATTTACTGATTCAAAAAATATTCCTGGTGCATGAAAAATTTTATTCACCTTCCAATGAGTTTGATATAACATCAGTCTAAACATTTGCATTCAGCTTTCAGGACCATAATTCCTCATGTACAAGGTGCTGAAAGGTCTTAGTTTGTGTTAGACAGAATCCAATACAGCAATGTGACTTTAATTTGGCTTAATTTGGTACACAAGACCAAAATTATTTTTAGAATTATTTTCAAGTGTGAAAATTTGAAATTTCCAGCCTGTGCTAGGCAAGGCATTGCTTTTTCCATCTTCTTCAGTCATGTATTTCATTCACTAAGTGACAAGGATAGCACTGCTGTTTGCTTGGATATTCTTACCAAGTCTAGATCAAAGTTGGTTATTATGTAACAAATTACCAACACTGCTAACACCTTGCAAAAAAACCCTACAAGACAAGCTTTAAACTAGTGTTGGACAATTTTGATAAAGATGACAGAAAGCATCTCATAAGCAGGAAAAATCAGTTTAGCATTACATTCACACTATGTTTTCAAGGTTGGGTTCAAAATTACAAGTAAACAAAGATTGCTCCTGAGCACAGTTGAACAACCAAGCAATGGGGAGCACCACCAAACTTTCTAAACACAAGTCCTTTTTCAGATGGAGAAGTTTACCTTTCTCCTTACTTGAAGGTGAATTGTATTCCCAATCCAGCAGTTCACCTATTCTAACAGTTTTTTTTTTTTTTGTTTGTTTGTTTGTTTTTGAGCTTTAGAGTCTTCACTGAATGATTCTGCAATTAAAACTGTGTCTCTTATCAAGACTTTCCGTGGAATTTTACCAAGAGACTATGATTACATCCCACCTCATGCTATAGAAGGGGAGACAAAGACAATCCATATCAAGGAAAACAAAAGTTCTGTGAGGAAATATAATGACTCCACTTTAACAGAAGTGAATAACACCACACTGGAATACCTGACTAGTTCTCTGAGCACCAAGTTAATACCCACTGTCTACCTCAGTGCTGTTTTACTGGGTGTACCATCTAATGCCATCATTTTGTGGATGCTGCTCTTCAGAATCAGGTCTGTGTGCACAGCCATCCTCTACACAAACTTGGCTGTTTCAGATTTGCTCTTCTGCATCATGCTGCCATTCAAAATAGCATACCATATCAACAAGAACAACTGGATTTTTGGAGAAATTATGTGTCGAACTACAACTGTGGTATTTTATGGCAATATGTACTGCTCCATTCTGCTGCTCACGTGCATTAGCGTCAGTCGCTATGTGGCCATCGTTCACCCTTTCACCTACAAGAGCCTGCCAAAACGCACCTATGCCATTGCCGTCTGTGCCACTGTGTGGACCATCGTCTTTTTGTATATGCTCCCCCTCTGCATAATGCAGCAAACCTATTACGTGAAACAACTGGGCATTTACACCTGTCATGATGTGCACAGTGCCTGCAAAACTGTATCTTCCTTCCAGTTCTACTACTATGTTTCTTTAGCTATCTTTGGATTCCTAATGCCTCTTGCAATCATCATTTTCTGCTATGTTTCGATTATTCGAACACTCAAGACTCACGAGTGGTTCTGGTATGTGAAAGTCAGTCTTCTGATTCTTACCATCTTTGCTATTTGCTTTGTACCAAGCAATATTATTCTTATTATCCATCATATCAACTATTACTACTACAACACAGATAATTTGTATTCTTTTTATCTGATAGCTTTATGCCTTAGCAGCTTAAACAGCTGTCTTGATCCTTTCCTTTATTTTCTAATGTCAAAAATACGAAGTCAATCCAATATATACCTAACAATGGTTAAAATAACCAGGGAAATGTGAATTTTATTCTTTATTTATATTATTGGAATTATGATTTTGTATAGTACTAACCCAGGTAGCAATAAACCTCAGATTTGACAATTAAATCTAAAAAAAAAAAAAATAAAAAAAATTCTAAGGTTGTTAAATCATGACCTCAGTGAAATTTACTTTTTCCAAACCGCACACGAGAGGCATCATCAAACATACTTCTCTATTTTGTTCTGTGTGCTACAAAGTCAGGTGAACCTACCTAGATTGAGGGAAGCAGCTGAGAACTTCCTTCTGAGAAGATCAAACATATGGTCACACTATAATATCAGTGACCACAGAACAAGAGAGGAATCCATCCAGCACTTTTAAGGCCCATTCTTGACTTGGAAACACTTTATATGTTCTTTGTGCCCACAATCACTGCAGGACTAATGTGAATGTGAGGTTTTGATACACTGGGAATAGGAACAAGTGAAAGCACTAGCTGTTCATGAGCTACAACGCATTATGGCACACAACTACGAGCAGATTCTGCCCTAGGTATTAGAAATAAAGAGTTGCAGTCCCATTAGTTTGGAAGTGCAGCAAAATCTACAGCCTTAAAAACAGAACTTGACATGCTTCCAAGAAAGTATCTCTTCTGAGGCTGCTTAACCAGCTTTGCTCTGGAGACTTGTTCTTCCACTATGTCAGCACCCATGCTCCTACAACCCTTAAGGACTGCTGAAAGCTAAACCTTATCACTGTGAATCCAGGCATGCTTTATTCTTGCTTGGTAAGCAAAAAAGGAAAACTATTTTGACGTATCCTCTATATTTCCACATCCTCACAGGAAATGATTAGTGTAACAAGAACTGAAGCAAGTTTTGATTAATTGCCCATGCTAGTAAAGTAAATGGTTATCTTTACATTTATGGAAGCTCAAGATCTACAAATGCAGAATATAAAATCCTACAAAATAAGCTCAGTGATTGGTTGACACCTGTAACTAATTGTGTAAAACAAATAAAAAGTACTTGATGATAGTGTTGCCAGAAACTTAAAAATGAAGTCATTTGCAGTGGAAAATGGGAAGTGCCTTCAAGAAATCTGGTGAGGCTCTACCTGTTCATTTTCTCCTGATTCCTAATTTATTTTAAATAGTGTAATTCCTTCCACAAGCATATCATTTAACTATAACTGTTAAGTAATCCAGATATAACCACTTATTGCAAACAACAAAAATGCCAGCTTTATTGTAAAGCCCATGTGTCTGTCACACAAAATTACACAACACAGGAAGCATATCAAAGTATAGCACATAGCTGTTTAACATTTCAGGTATTCAGAAATACCTGAAATGTTAAGAAGATACTTCCTAAACACAGGGTTTCTCTTCAATGAGACTTGAACACACTTGGTTTGAAATGGTTGTGAGAACTGTTAGAAGCAACTGTATAAAGTTACAGGAATAAATGAATTGCATATTTGTACTTGCAAGCAATGAGGAAGCAATGAGTAGGTGTCATCTAGCTTTCATAGGAACTAGATTCTACATAGCTGAGGCCACTTCAGCCAGAGGGACGTCACAACAGCATGGTTAGAACAAGCCAGCAGTTTCAATCCATTTGTTTTCCAGACACTGAGGAATCCAGGAAGTTCAGAGTCAAACCTATCTAACTGTTGTAAATCAAGTACTCTCTTATGCCACAACTCATTCTTAAAACATGTTAAATACAGCTAAAGATCAATCTGCATTATAAACAGGGATAAAAAAAGTAAAAGGTTGATAAAGACTAGAGTTTATTGCACAGTCTTTTCAATTCTGTTCTGTTCTGTTCTTCTGTTTTTAGGAGAAGTTCAATCTAAATCATATATTAAGGAAGGTGATATCCATATTCTTATTCAGCAGTTAGAGTAGTAACTCAAATTATTTTGGGACCATATACAATACAGCGTCTTGCTTTCTCCCTAAGCAGAGTTGTTTGGTTTTTTAATAAATCATTACATAAAAACAGATGTTTTAAGTATTTGTCAAAGGACTACAAATGAAACAGCCAGCACACAGCAAGGGTGGAGACTTTTCAGCATCCAGTAATTAGTGAAACCTGACGTTATGGGAGAACACAAGACTGAGATTTGCAACACCCAGTCCAAAAGCTCTGCCAGCGGATGACAGAAGCACACGTTTTTCATAGCAGGTACTGCAGGTGAGGTGGCAAAATAGCTGGGAGGTGTTTCTACAAGCCATTGTGCAGGGACTTTTTCCAGCTGACATTAAGAATGCATCATGTGAATTTTAGACATCTTGAAACTGTGAGAATATTATAATATGCTGGACTATGAGCTTTAGCTAATCTTCCCTTCAGTCAAATCCTTCAAGCTGTTAGGCTGATCTGTGTTTACACTTTCCTAAACTGTGATGTTAACCAGGGCACTGCTTTTGAGGAAGCCAGTACAAGCATCCTGCTGAAATTGGCTGAAGCTGAAGGCATGTACAAGATGGGAAGTGTGTTGTTGCATGACAAGGGCAGAACAGAAACACCACTACTACAGACCCTCAGATTTCAGCAACTGAGGTTTCTCAGCAAAAGATCTCCCAGAAGTAGTATTCTCCTCAGCATGACTGAATACTTTCTAGCAGAAGCCTCAATTCCCATCTATAACTACCTGCCTAATTATCACTAGTAACTAGATCCTTACACAAACATCTAACAGATACAGAATGTATCTTACTGTTAATTAATTAATAATTAATCTTCTGTGATGGTCAGAATAAGTTGTAGTAGAAAACTATACAGTGTTTTTTTCTTGTTTCCAGCTTATATTATTCCTACAACTAATCCAAAGACTGCAGGAACAGGACAAGAGCACATGCAAATAAAAAGAATTGTCATTTCAGATCTGACAAGAGGCAACAGCACTAACCTTGCGTTTCTGTGTTTTGGCGTGGTGCAGAACATCCTGATAATGCTTTGCATTTTCTGGTCTCACATCCTGCAGCTTGGCTGTAGGCATCAGTAGAGCTTCTAGAGTTTTTTCAGCATTTCCTTGGTCAATTGCTTCATTAATGTGGTTAATTGCAATAATTCCTATGAAACAGAAATTTTATTACAAGTGTAGCTGTCGAAGAGATACAGCCTATCACACAACAGATACAAACAAAGCAGTAACACACAGAAAAGAAAAATCAAGTAACAAGAAGCAGAGACAGCAAGAGCAACTAACTTAAAATTATTTTCTTCAGGCATCTGTAAAGACATTCACTTTCGCAGAGTTCCTTTCTGCCACACCTATTAATTCCACTGAACCTATCTCTCCACAGAAAATTTTACCCTCATAAAAAAAAAAAAAAGGAATATTTACTTTACCAACAGATCACAAAGGGTTTTGAGAAGCTTAAAAAAATACTGGACACCGTATCTATGTGTGCATCAACATATTGGCTGGCTGTGCTGAAAGACTCCAGACTTGTTGAGTGGTTGGGAATTAGACTTCTTGAAACCCTAATTTCAGAGGTTACACACGTGCTGACCTACAAGTTACAACATTATGTTGAACCTTAACCTAATTTCTTTAAACTTCATCTCCTCTAATCAAACTGGCAATGCTGATCTTATAAGATCAGCTTGATTTTGTTCAGACCTGTGGACACTGAGGACTACAGCCACATCACACGATGTGCTTAATAAAACCTATGACTCATTTTCCTCAGTTGTCAAGACTGTTCTCATTTAAAGTGACGATGTATTCCCTCTCCAAAACAGTGTGGAAATGCATTGCTTGGGGAGATTTCACCCTGAAGTCAAGCTGCCCTACAAGGGCACTGGCCAAGGGCTTCTCATGTTCTGTGAGAGACAACACCCTGCACTGGTAGCTGATAATCTTTCACCATGTTGCTGCCACGCCATCCACAGCTGGTGGGTACAAGATCTATGCTCTCATGAGGGCTAAGGCAGGAATGGGCAGCCACACAGGCTTGCTTACGGAAATCAATACCAGCCTTTTTCCTGCATTCTCTGCCCTATTAATGATTTTTGGGCAGAATCCTGTACTACTGAAACTACAAGCAAAGCTTTTTCACCAGTAGAGACTGACTGCTAAAGAAGAAACATCTATTTCAAGGCCTTTTTCACCTATTCATGACTCCATTGAAGCAGAGAGTCACAAGAAGTAATTTTGCCCACTGAAAAAAATATGCTTATATCCTATCCCAGTATGGGATATCAGTATCAAAGGATGGTAGGTTGGGTAGGCATCAAAAGGCCTGCATCTCCCTGTTCAGAAGCAACATACAGCCAGTTTTCGTATTTCCATAAGGTAAGACTCTTCTCTTACCACTGCTAAACAAAGTAGGGTGCACTGTGCTGATAGCATTAAGGAGAGGGTAGCTAATAGCCTCAAACTTTATGGAAAATGCATCTATATCCATCAGAGACTTCAGTCTGTTAGCACTTTTGAAGCCCAAATGACCACATTTAATTTAACATCAAAATTTAGGGCCACACTTAAATGAAAGAAATACTCTCCAAAACCATTTATGTTAGAATTTACACAATAAACTTTTCTTTCAGATAGGAAATCAAATTATGTGAAAGGAGAGCAGGACAGACTGTTTTACTTCTGCAGTTCCTACAAACTCTGGTTAAAAACAGGGGCTTGGAAATCACTTAACGAAGCATTGTTTAACATAGTGTGTTACCTATTTTCTGACCCTATCCTCCAATACACTCTTGACTTACAATTTCTGTAAAATCCCTGCAGTGATATCATCCAGTTCAAATATTGAACTATACTGACAAGTATTCTGAACCACAGTATTTGTAATGCTGCAGATGGTAGGCATGCTAGGATACATTTGAACCAGGCATAACATAACCAGGAATACTTCAAGTGGATTTAAAGATCAACAGCCATTCAAAAATAACAGCTTTCTCTATTGACCAGAGTCTGTGCAAGGCCATTTAGCACAGAAATGTGTGCCCTGGCAACCAAACTATCATCTCTGCCACCAATGTACAGGAAGAATTACTTACTTTCATTTTCTTCTTGAATTTGCATATTAACCATGTCAATGCAGTTCTGGATATCATTCCAGCTTAAATAATCTTGGCCTTGAGATGAAGCCTCTGACTTAATAGACAATAGTGTATCAGCATAACTATAAGAAGATATAAAATACATAAGTGTATTTCATACACAAGGTAAATCGCCATTAAGAATTAGTCAGATATATCATCCATAATTTATTGACTTTTTCAATGAATGATTATCAGACCAATTCATCTCCTGCCAGAAATTATACAAACATGCAAGCTGCTTTCTTGGTCACACATGTATTTTGGGGTGTGAAAAACTGACCCTACATGCTAATCCAAAGCCTTCTTCTTGGCAGAATGATGATGATATCATTTCAGGAAATGGCTGCCTTTCCCCCAGATACTATCTTAAGCAGGAGATATCAGTACTTTCAGGGACCACCACAGTCCACTACGATTTTATGTTGTCAACTGTATTTACCTCCCAGAAAATTTGAAATTTTCTAGTGACCTCAGGAGAAAAAAAATATACCATGCGACCTGGTGGCCTATCCAAGTTCTGTTACAGAGGCAGGAATATGGTGAGCCTTACAGTTCTTAGAAATAATTTTCAAATACTTCTGCTCACTAGGTGATTTTTAAATGACTTGTTTTGCTATTATTTTCTGTCAGGAAGAGGTAAGGAAAAACATGATGGCTTTTTTCTTCACCATCTGTCCTGAACTATTTTATATCCTCTCTGATAGGAAGCCATCAGGAGCAGAAGCTTGCTTCAGTCCCCATTTTGCCTCTAAGGGAAAGTGGCAAAGCTAGGCAGATCCTTTACTGTGTGGTAATACAGATGAATTTGGTAGAAACTGTTGCCCTCCTCTTGCTGCACTAACTCAAACAGCAGAATATCTGCTCTCATAGTATTAGGTAGCAACCCCTACTGTTCAGAAGATAACTGCATGTTGCACATGGAGGATGATGAGCCATAGAAAGAGAGAAGACATGAATAATGCTCCTCTACACCCAAATCAATGTCCTCCAAGCACAGGCTTTGTAGCCTAAGCTTTTTAAAGGATCACAAACCAAGTCACGATGGAAACCTTTGCAGCACTTATACATGCAAGTTAAATAATTTTAGTATTCCTGATTAAAATACTCAGCTGCCACCATGAGTCAGACGAAATATATTTTCATCTGTGTCCTGAAATGAGTGGCTACTAGGGAAATAGATAAGAATTATTTCCTGCTCTGGTGTGTCCTCTCAGCATTCAGCAGACTACATTTAAGGACTTCCAAGTGGGAGGATGCACGTTCATGTTTAATAGTTGTGAAAAGGTCTGCAACCCATTGATTTATTATTTTGAAAACTTACAAAGTGCTTAGTAATGAGTCCCACTTATTAAATCTTTTGTAAGAAGGTGGTTCCTCGGGTAAGTATTAAACTTCATATGTCATAATTTCAATTTGTTTTTCTCATTTCAGTTATCATAAGAAAATAACCGAATTTATGAGAACCTAGCAACTCCTAATAACTTTCCCCACAACACATGCAATTTTGCAAGTCTATGTCATATTTCCACTGAAGATTTATGTTCTGGGAAAGGCATTTCCTTAACAAGTGCATGCCCTCCAGTAGAAAGCTACTGAGTGTTTCCCTCACAGAAATTTCTCTAGCTCTACTTTACCTTTTACCTTTTGGCATTGTGCAATTAAGTCTTCCTACAGCTCAGATTTACATAATGGCATTGTAGCTTTATTTTATTCCTTAATCCAATTAATTCCCACTGTTTCATTTGTACCGACTGCCAAGTTTAACAGGCCACAGTGCCATCAGTCAAAATCACTATCTTTGGACATTTTGCAGCCCACCTATCTATTTTCACAGTGTTTTTTCTGTCTCCCACTGGTTCTCCCTGACATGAGCAGAATCCAGGTGGAACACTAATTTTGCTCCACCTCACAGCATTCTGCCTTTTCTCCAAGTCACTACAGATCCTTCCTTCCCTCAATGCCACAAACTAACCAGTTATTCCTATCCTGACTTGCTCTCCCTCCAGCGTCAAGAGCTGTTCTCACATTCATGCCCTCTGGTGAAGACCTTCAATGACCAGATCAGATCACTGCTGTCCCTTTTGCCTGACGACACCCTCCAATAGCCCTCAGACTTCCACCACCCACAGGCAGGTGTTAAGAACCTGCCCACATCCCCACAAATAGGGGCCTCAGGTCTTGCACAGGCCCTAGAGCTGCCTGATAATCTTATTTTTTTTATTTTATTTTGCAGATAAGCAAAGGAGCACAGCAGCAGCACATGGCTGTGACAAGTCAGACATGTGGCAGTGCAAGCAGCTGGCAGCTAAGTGCAGGATTTAACTTAGCTTTGGGCATGCATACGTGCCACAGTAACATACTCAGCTTTTTAGCAAGCAAACTGTGCTACATTTTTAAGATCTTTCTAAATCTTGAACGAAAAAAAATAGGGTTAGCCTGGGTCCAAGGGGTCTCCTTGACCTTAAGACATTAAGCACATTATCACATTCCAAAGATCCTCCACCAGTACTGTGAAGAGTTTACTGATTAACAGTTTCCAGCTACAGTTGGTTTGTATGTTAGTCTCCACAAAAATTCTTGTCAGGTCTTAATGTTTGCTTTCTGAAAATACTTCCCTTCACCTTGCATAAGCTCTTGCTCTCAAATATTTGAGGTTGTGAGCCAGCTTACACTTAGGGACACTCAAGCAGTTTGGTATTTGTTATGTTTTGCCGTATTAACATATGACTGAGAATCATCTTGCAGCCTTTTCAGCTTCAGAGCCACAGCACTGCACAGCCCACCTAGTGAAATGCCTACTTATCCTTCTGCAGAGGTTGCCAAGTCTGCTCTAGACAAGACAAAATGAACTTTTACCGTTGCAAGTTTTCTTCTTCCAGATTATTGAAGCCAATGCATGGATTTCTGAGGTGATTCCTTATCATTTGGATGTCCTTGTTTTCCAAGGCCTGGTTTAGCAACACAACAGCTGACAACATTTCTACTGCAACAGACAGTTCATCGTGTGCCAGGTAATTCTGTAGGATAATAATGTACCTCAAGTAAGGAAGCTAAATAAGCAGTGTAATGAATCTGAATTACACAGTCCAGATACCATCAATGATGCGAACTTGATTTAGGACTGAAATGCTAAGATGTATCCTGGTCACAGACACGTAACATGAACACACCACTGAGAGCTCTCACTGTTTGCTACACATCCTTCGGGCCCTTTGCCCCACAGTCCCATCTCTTCTGATCATACTGTGATAGCAGGGGATTACTTTTCTATGCAGTGTACAAAGGGTTAGTCCTCAGTAAGCATGCAACAATTAAAAAAGTCCATTTGTTGCAACACAACAGCTCAGCCAGAGCCAAGTGTGTCAAGAAATGACTTTTATGATTCAGTATTGCCAATTCAATTGAGAACAGTCATGCAATACACATAGCACCATGGAGAGAGAATTAAGTTTGATTTTACATGACAACATGCTATGTTTATGCTGTTCCACAGCTTGGCTATATAACATCAGAGCAGGTCATAAGTGTTTCATTCTTACCACAGCATTCTGTTGTTGGAGGTTGAACAGCTCAGTCTGATAGACAACAGCAGCAAATGAGTGAACAACAGGCAGCTGTGCCTCCGGTTTCATCAGTGCAACCAGTGTTTTATTAGGATCACAGTTACGAATTGCAGTATTGATATTGTCAACTGCTATAAGTTCTAGAGAACAGCAGGGAAAGAAAAACCTATTAATTTCCATATGCCATTTACTTTTTTATGCCATGTAGATGACAGTTAGGTTATCCAAAGAAAATAATTTTCTGTCATTGGAGAAAAGCATCAGATTAAGACAAAATACTGCATGTTGCAAAATGCATCTATTCAAAAATTTTCAGCAAATAATTGAATGGAGGACTAAAAAAAGCTTCTGGACTTTTAGATATTAGGGATCCTCTATGATACCTTTAATCCAAAGCAGGAATCTGACCTGTGCTCAGAGGCAGAAGGACGGAATGTCTCTCTGATCTGTTCAGTATGTCATCTCAATTACTCCAGTCCCACCTCAACCCAAACACTTTCTTCCTTGTGTTCTATTTCCTCCCTCACATCCTCCATTTAGCAGAACCTAACTCAGCCATGTAGAACAGACCTGTCCCACAACAAGGACAACTGTGACTCCATTTCAGGAGGCCTGGTAGAAATCTGCCGAACAAGGTTGCTGGTGGGCTTCTCAGTGGCTAAAATGAAGCAAAAAACACACACAAATTCTTGTAGGCATTTGTGCTATCCCTTGTCCACTGAAGTCTTGAAGATCATTCTTCACAAATACTACTGTCTAGAAATGGTCCATAGCTCACATTTTTGTGTCAAACAAACCACCAGAGAAAATGCAATCCTTCTCAATCCCTGAACAGCTTCAACTTGGCAGAACGCACTTCAGGACATTTGAACACCAGCAGAAAAACACTTCCAACCTGGGGACCAGCCTGGGGACCCACAGCAGCCCAGCAACACCTCCAGCTTAGTCAGTGACTATAATTGCACACCAGGAAGAGCCAATTCTGAGGAAACTCAGGCCAGAACACACCCTGAGAGATATTGCACAAGGTACCACCTCGGCCTTGCGCAAAGGGAAACAACTTTAAAGGTTAGAGTGCATATGGCAGAGCAAAGAATGACAATTATGTAAATGTCATTTCCATCAGCAAGATTATTCCCATTTCCTCTCTTATCTCTTTTTTTTACCCTCTTAGCCAGGGAATGTTTTTAGACACTGCTGACTGCTGAAAGTCCATACAAGAGTGCTTGTGCAGCAGATACCATTCATCTTTCATGTACACAGCAACACTTAGGTCTTATAAAGGATTAAGACTTTGAAAACTTCTAAGTAAGCAGGCCCACCTATACAAACTCTTTGCCTGTCATTTCAATTGCACTGAAGCATGGTTGGACAGGATCTTGTTATTCTCAAAGGCTTTCTTTTGGCTGCAGCCGTGGTTAGAGACAGCAAAGGCTCTCAAAGCTACTGCATGCACACATGCTTCTTTAGAGAAAAGATGAAAGAGGAGAAGACTCAAGAGTCCACAACTGAACTGAGTCAGTAACTAAGCTGTCAATCCCTAATTCATGAACTAAGCATGCAGATTGCAAAACACACACTAAAATGTTCACATTCTCCCCTACCTCCTTTTAAAACTAGACATGAGAAATGAGTTGCTCTCCAAGTCACTGTAGCTGCTTTTCACAGCTCACAATTTTCCTTCTAGCTTCCATAGCAAAGCAGCACCCCTTTGAAGAGGGGTACACTGCTCACCATGCCTAACCAACAAAAAGAGAGCTAACATTTGAGCTAACAAGTCAAGCCGTGCTTCTGGCTTAGGTTGATCTCACTGTACCATCTTCAAGTCGCATTACAAAAGCAATGAGCCAGGATTCAAAGCACTGGAAATACAGAGAACAGCCACTAAGCCATGCTCAGACGTAGCATGAAATGACAGCAGTTTAACAAAGCAGAATCTCCTTGCAGGAAAGTTTTCAGTTGAACAAAGCAATTCGTGCACTGCAAATTTAGAACCCCTTAACTATATTTTTAAAAACTGTATCTTGTAGCCTTTGTATTGTGACATTCTCAGTCTAAGAACAGATCAGATTCAGATATGTGCATCTAAAAATGAGAATAATTTTCTTCAATGTGATTGCAAAATATTCTTCTATTTGATTGTTCTATTTTAATACTACAGTGATGGTTATCACACCCACGTAAGGATTAAAGCTATTCAAGCCATCAAGCCATGCACTGTATGTGGTTTGTATTCAGCCAGTGTGTTTTACCAGTTGCTTAAGTTATTCAAATAAAGATGTTAGCTACCTCAAGTAAAAAGAATATATCTGATGTAGCACAGATTGGTGACTTGCAGTTGTGACTCAGAACACTTACAAAATTAAATGCACGTGGTTTCAGATTAAGAAACTGAGTCTACATGCAAAGAATTGTGGATTGAATTAATCGTCTTAAAATAATCAAATGGCGATGCTAAAAAATGAGTATTAAAACAGTTACTCACTAAGCTTGTGAGCCTCAGCTTCCGCATTGACAACACTAACTTCTTTCTGTATTTCACTTTTGTCGAGCATATTTGGAACCCCTGCTATCTAACATAAAAAAAAAAAAAAAGATTTGATTATGCTTGTAAGCGTGTTGGGAGATAAGGGATAAAAACCCCCAATGGGACACTAGGATTTGAATATGTATTTGCTGAACAGACAATATGAATATCACAGTACACATAACATTAGTTTATCCCTGTGATTTTCTCCCTGAAATTCAATTCCACCAGTGCTTTTACTTTTTGTCGTTCAGTTTTATCTTGTGTTGTATTCAAGTTTTAAAGATTAAATATAACAAGCATTACTGGGACTTTCATGCCACATCTCAAATTTTTTTCTGATTTCTTAGTAAATTCTTAAAATTGCATTGTGCTCTTAGGAGCAAATATACAACTGCTTTGGGATTGATTAGTACAGTAATTATTATTCTAAAACCTTTATAAAACTCATTCTTAAGTGGCACAGAAAGCTAAATAGGGTAATCTCTCTCTGGTTTATGCCAGCTTCAAAAAAAAAATCAAAAAGTAAAACTGATGCATAGTAGCCATTCTACTAAATTACCTGTATTTTCTGTTCTTTAGAATCACACAATTGCAATAGGTACCAAGAGGAATTTTGTGGCAGAACTTCAAGTAGGCTCAAAGCAGGATGGTTCAAACCTGCCATCAGTGCCACTTCATCTTGTCGGTCAATAGCCTCATTCACTTGGACTAAAGCCATGTGAACTGAAATGAAAACAATGCTTATAAAACAGCAAATACACACTTTTTGGAAAAAAAAAAAAAAAAAAAAAGCCAAATGCTGTCAGCATCTCATTTTTTGTAAATGACAGCCAGAGTGGCAGTCTCCAGCAGGGGATTATGTATTTGAAGATGAATTCTACAAAAAGAAACCACACCCAACAACAAGAAAAAAAACAGCTTCTGGCTCTGTGTGAGCACATGTGGGAGCAATTTAACCACAGCTAACACAGCTAACTAATAGGTTATGAAAATATTTCAAGTCTATATAGAAGAGGGGGTCAAAATTTACAGTAATCTGCAAACAGAAGGAACTAAAATGTGAAGAAACAAAGCAGGCAAAAATGATTAGATTCTGAAATGAGGAATCCTTGTAGCAATACTCACAAACAAACAGACATTAGCCCCCAAAAGATTAGTAGAGAAAAAGCAGCAAGAAAACCTATTGTAGACAGACAATGTATTTTATATGTTTTATAGGCTTCCACAGAAATATTGTTTGTTCCTGTGGGTTCAAGGTTCAGCAGGAATCTGGTAGAGCGTGCACACTTCTGTGAGGATCCTGAATGGCTTACTGTTGATCTTATTGATATTGCCTTGAATCTCAGCTTGTGTCAGCAGTTCTTCATAGACATCTCTCTCCTCTTCAGAGATTGTGCCATTCTAAGAAAACAAAATTATTAGCAATCAGCAAAAATTTTGTGGAAGAACAGCCAATTAGCAGGAGTCATTAAAATCACGTTGGCTGAAAAATTTGCTGAATGCACTTGTGAAGGAATTTGGTAACACATGAATCTGCATACTATGATACGTGGCTGTGCAATATTTAAAGTGTTTTCTGGAAAGTACCCATTTAACTACAGCACAACGTTTTGCAGCAGTCACGAACATAAGCTCCCAAGTGAAAACAAAGCAAATACATTTACATTAAAGACCTGTGGAAGAGATTATATTTTGTGCCCAAAAAGGCATCACTTCTGATGTTGTTATGAACAGAAAATCTGTTTGTTCCTTAAGGGACAGAGGAAAAATATACATATTTTTTTATTTTTGGATCTTCAATGTTTTATCCTTTGGCCAAAGCTGCTGAGCTTATGTCAAAATTCATACTAACCATATTCTTCTAGAATTGCCTGCCTGCTTGTTAGATCACCATTACTTATCCTAGTCCATTTCATTTTTAATATTAAAAATTAATTTAGCTTACTTCTCAAAGGATAATACTACAACACGAAAAGCAATAAGAAGGAATATATATACTGTGAGGCCTAATAAAATACCACTACCTTAAGTCTTGCACTTGATTGTTTTCTCCTTTTAGCATCAAAGAGCTCATTCTGATAGTCCTGAGCAAGTTCCTCATCCACATTCAGCAGCATTGCATTTGGGTTCCTCAGAGTTGCAATGGTTTGCTCAGCTATTCCCTTCTCAATAGCTTCGTTAATTGCTATCACTGCAGCATGCACTAGAATTAGAAGTATAAACCAAGATTTTAGGAAGCAATTAAAACATTCAAATCATTCCTTGACCTCAGTCCTCTTTTTTAAAAGAAAAAGTAGATAACATGCTGTTAACAATAGATATACAAATTCCCTCATTAATGGTGGAAAATCACTAATTAACAGGAATTCACTTAGCTTCTGTAGCAAGACAATAAAACAATTCCATTAAGTACAGAAGTAGCAGTAAAAACATCCAAGAACTGTGTATTTATGACCATGAGATTAACTGCAGCTTGTCCAATTTTGTCCAGTTCCAGCCCATTCAGTCAGCTTCATACAAGCTCTGTTCCTTCAACTCAGTCCAAGAACTGATACTCACATCACCACAGACACTTTCAAAGTACCAGGTTGGAAATCTTCTGCAATAGACACTCCTCATATTCATTTAATATTGATACTATGTTCTAATTTATTTGAAGTGATGATTTAATATGTGTAAGACAATTTGCATATTTTCCTTCGAACATTCCATCGTAATGCATCCCCTAAGCAGCAGAAACAGACATACTCCATTTGCTCAGTGGCAGCTTTGGTAACACTCTGACAGCTGCCTGTTTTAAGTTTTCTTCTCTCAGCTAGTGGCTGCTATTTTGTTGATAGAACAAACATGAGTTGAGTTTTGTTACTCAAGTTCTATGTCACTGAGAATGCATTTACATGCAGCAACTGAAAGCATTTTCAGTCATTTCCCTCAGTAAAAGCTCCTTTGTGTCTGTAAAGCAACAGTTAATGAGTATATATGATACTTAAGGACATGGTTTAGCAGTGGATTTGTTAAATGGATGGCTGGACTTCATGATCTTAAAAGTATTCTCCAACACCTAAATGATTATATGACCACTCAAAAGTATTGTTTAAAATAAGTATTACTGAAATATTTTATGCAGGAAAAAGAAAATTCAAACAGTGAAATTTGTGACCTAGAAAACATAGCTAAGAGTTTCTGAGCAGGGCACAATCCTACATGCTATATCTAAAACTGTCCAAGATGAACCTTCTCCTTTCCTAACCAAGGATCTCCATGAGCAACTGGGGAAGACAGCGTCACAAACATAATGGCTCCCTACTCCTATAAACTCCAAAGCTACATGACAGCAAGCATCAAATGGAAGTGTTCCCCAGGTGTTAGAAAGTTACTCCAAAGCAGTTTTCTCCAGCTCAAGCCAGTACAACATTCTCTTCTAATGATAAGCAGCTGGCAGGGAGAAGATGTAGAGACCTACACTGGTTTCTTTGACATTCAGCTCTATAAAGACCAAGATGTGCCTGAAGGGACAAAGTGAAGATGTGAAAGCCCTGTACCTAAAAATACACAGAAAGGATGTACAGTATTGTATGAGAGGTCCCTCTGACATAAGTGGAGCCAGTATCAAGTGGACAACAGATAGTATGAAGATTGGGAAAGCTGTGAACTTGTGCTGGTGGATGTTGTTAATCAAGAGAAACAATGAGAAACATGACTGGATCTCTGCAGGAGCAGTCTGGAGGTACAAAATATGGTTAGTTAGGATGAAAGTCAGTTCTGAGAGCACTTGATTCTTTGCAGACTAATTTGTACTATTGCTGACAGCATACAAAAGGCATTAGCAGTTGTTTCACTTCTTCTTTCTCCTTTTGCTTACTACATTTCTGAAGCAGGGTGATAGCCCTCCTGCAGCAGGATCTCCACATCAATCCTCACTGATGTGTGAGGGTTCCCACAGCAGATACTTCCTGTTCTGGGGGGAGGGGGGCATATTACTGACAGCACACTGCCTGCCTAAAGAGACAGAACCAGCATCAGGAAACACTGCTTTTCCATAAATGGCTGGAAATTCTTCCAAAGTCGAAGGAAACTATACATACACGCTATAAAAAGGTTTCAGAAAAGGAAGTTGCAGTCCTTTCATCATCAGGGAAGGAAGGAAGCTCACTGGAAAAAAAGTGTTTTGTCATCACTAAATCTCTAGAAGTTTGCTAAAAAAAGCAGAAAAACAAACCTTATTTCTAAAGAGAGTATTTTAAGATCTGGCTTTACACAAGTGTACACACAGCAATCAGCTGCAGCAAGCTGCAAAATATGTGGTAAGATGAATCAACACAAGGAAACATGCTTTAATTTCATATCTGGAAACTTCACACTAAATCAGAAATAAATTTGTTTCAATTATTTTGCTTTGTAAAGTTTAGGAAAGCCGCATTGACACTTAATTATAACAGAGGGTGTTCTGTTGTTGCTTGTTTTTCCTCAACTCAGTGCACTCCTTTTCTGTATTGATACATTTTAATTTCACTAGATATGCTGCCTTGAGTAGCCCATTGTACCCCTTCTGGGGTAGAGTCGCCCAAAGAGCTCACTTCTTCAATTCTAGATACCAAAACAATAAACACATGCAAAAGATAGAAAGAAGTGTTTGTTTCTGATAGTACTTCCTAAAATGCAGTGGACATGCATAAAAATATTTTCTGCTCAGAAGTACAGATGGACAAATAGCAAAAGATCTCATAACAGATACAAAATGCAATTGTCAATGAAAACTTGACTGCGTTTCTAATTACTTATCAAAAGATGATGGGCAAGACAGAAGAATTAAAACAGTATTTTGTTGGCATTCTTTCAGTTTATTCAGTAGAAAACAGAACCAAAACAAGAGTTTACTTACATGCAGCTTCATCAACTGATAATTCACTGGCCAGAATCCCACCAATTTTACTGAAAGATGGCATCTGTATGCCATACTTCTCTAGCTCCTTTCGCATGTTGCTGATTTCTTCCTCTGAGTACAAAAGAAAAGAAATCATTAGAACAAAATCTGAGCAACATCATTGTGAATCACCATACCTACAAATACTAGTGCAATTTTATTTTATTGAAAGCAAATGTGATCAGGGGTTCTTAGCAGCTTTTGTCCCTATGTTCTGAAGAAAGCTAAGACACGACAAGTATTCTGTACAAATTCACTCCCTTCTGCCCTTCAAAAACAGACATTTATTAAAAATTGTAACCTCCCACATATTTAATTAGGATCTGCTCTGTACAACCCTAAGGGAGGAGAAAGACCGTAATGGAAAATATGCACAATGTTAGCAGATTTACTGCACGAAGGAGTTACGTAGTACATGATTAGATAAGCAGTTTATTACCTGTGAAGTCTACTTTTCCCAGTAGGTCCTGAATTTGTGGCGCTAATCCTAGTTTGAACAGATACAAACTACAAAGGAAAAAAACAAGCATTAGAAGACATTGGTGTGTTCACTATTCAAGCGTGTGTTTCCTAGAATAACTGCCACTCTGAAGGTTGTCCTTCAACATCTATCTTTCATGGAGGGATACAGAACAAATTTATCTTCTCGCTGCATTTTACCTGAAGTTTCAAAGAAGGATCTGTAAAACATAATGTTATTTTGTCTCAGATCACAGAGGAAGTGTGAACTAGTAACTGCTTTCCACTAAGGGTTTCTAAAGAAGTTCAAGAGTTAATATGGTCAAGAAACAGATATGAATATACTTTAGCATAGCTCATTACTTTGGGTCTGTAATTGTTTTGACTTGAATTCATATATTCTTACAATTAGTTAGCTGAAGGCACACAATTCTCTGACAGCCTTCTTACTAAGTGTAGGAGAATATACACTTAGCCCCTTTCAAGTATGTTTGTGACATTAACCAGTTTGTTTTGGCAAAATGAAGTTTAATGTGAAAGTGCTCTCCAGGAACAAGTATTTTTGATTCAGTATAGTATGAATAAAAACCAAACAGGTATACTTTTAATACCTAGAGCTGAGGTGTTGTCTGAAAAACAGCTGAGTAAATTACATATTTTCCACAGTATCCTCCAAACACTAAGCAGAAATTTATTTATTTTCTTTTATCAGTGAAACTCAATGAACAAAATAAAGCTTTGTGAACAGGGACCAACTATCAACAGGCGGATTTTAAAGAAGACTGAAATAATGTGTTCCTTTGACAGGATCATTCCAGATCTCTTATTCAAATTACTTCATCTACATCTTTATACACTGCAGATGAGCACAGTGGTTTAGCATCTGCTCGCTGAAGGGGACATTTCCCTTTTGTTTGCATTTTTAACTTCTATTTTGTCTAGTAGGAAATTGCAGGATGAGATTTCAGATCCAGTATTCGTAGTTGCCATAACTGTTTCAGAGCACAAAGGATAAGCATTTCATCTTCCAAGCTACTGCTCCTCTGTGCTGTCAAAACCTGCATGGATACACCAGCACATCTCATACAGGCACACTTTTGAGCACTGCAGTCTGTCAATTGCCACTGCCATTCTCACCTTTCAAAACAGTGTTAAATACAAGATACTTACAGCAGGATAAAAAAAAGGTACATGACTACAATAATGAGCCAAGACCTTTCTTCACCCTCAGCTGCCAATCTCTTCTTGCAGGCTTATAAAGAGATTCTACTGCAGGCTGATAAAAAGATTTACTGCAGGCTAAAGACAGGGCTGGAACCTTGGTTGAAGTGCTGGAGATCATACAGATGCACCAGCAATTGTGGAAATCAGCACAGGGCTGATCAGCATTTTGGGGGTAATCTCATTAGGGAGATGCAGAGAAGAAATGAGTGATATGAATGAGAGATTCATGTTTTGGCTGTTCAAAGCTTCCAGGAGGATGCTGGGCCATGAGCTTTACACTACTTTGCTTGGATAAGATTATTAACCACCAGGTGGTGCTGAAAATTTGAGTTCTGCAGGGAACACAAGGAGAATTCTGCTCTACACTAAGGAATGAGTTCACTTGAAACAGCTTGCATAAAACATTTGTGCATATAGCATGATCCTTGGGGATCTCATAAAATCAAAGTGGGCTTGGGGTTTGGAAGGCTGCATGGGAGGCAGTGGGAGGGGGGGAATACAATGGGGAAAGAGCTCTTCCCAGGTGAATCTCCGCTTGCATCAAACCAATGTGGAGCAGCAGTTCTGATTAACCAGAGACTCCTCAATCTTGTTTAAGCTTAGCTCATGTTTAGCATGCTATAACAAACAAATCTGAAAATAACATGTTTTTATAAGTATATGCTTGTTATTCTCTCTTCCTAGGAAAACGTACATTTGAAACTGTCCAGCCTCAGAACTAGTTCGTCCAGAACGTAGTGCAATTTTCTTGTAAAGATAGTTTGAAAACTGTGTTTTAGGGAGCAGTGGAGACAGAAGAGTCAGAATCTGAATCACCACTACTTAGGAATAAGAATCATCATTAGCGTGTACATTTAACTGAGGGAGGTGTTTAACTCATTTAGACCAAGACCAAATCTCAAGATTTCTTAAGAAAAACGGTGCAAAAAAAAAAAAGAGACTAATACTTTAGTATTTTTAATGCTGATTTAAGCATTTAAGTATCAACATGAAAAAGTACGAGGGTAACAGTACTTATCAGGAATCTAGAAATTGCTTGCTAAGTCACTCCTTCCTGGACAGATCAGGGCTGCTTCTGATAGAGCAAGTTGTTCCACATGCTCTAAGGGCAATGGTCTTAATTTCAGGCTTGAAGCAGAACATACCTCCAAAATACTTAAACAGTTTTGCTTAGAATCATTTCCTGTCTCCAGGCCCTCCATCTGCTCAATGATCAGTGAAACCCAAATAGTTTCATATGAAATGCTAACATTTGGTTCCATTACATAGAGTAAAATCTTTTTCACTCTAATTAAAGAGACAAATTTAAGCACTTATGCATACTGATCTTTTCAGGAAATTAACTTAGGAAAAAATCTTAACTGGAGATGGTTTTGGTTTTTTCAAGTATGAGACTAAGACAAAATATCCTATCTGTGTTAAACTCCTGTAGCTTCATTGGGAAATAAAAGCTTCCTGTGTTGGGGTAATAACTTGGTAATAGCTAAGCAAGAATAGAAAGTAGGCTAGCTGCTTACCTCTCAAAGTGCTTAACTTTTCTAGGTTACAAGCCCTTGAAATTTGAGCATGTGCTCCAAGATGTATTAGAATTTAGCACTTAAGCCCTGTGGTGATTTTCATATAGTGATCCAATTCGTATGTAACAGATGGTAAGGGAAAATCCTTGTGTGCCATTTCTGCTTCTAGGTGCTGTGTGGCCAGACCCAAGAACTTTTCTAGGGTCAGTGATCCCCATGTTGGCTTCCCTGCCAAGGATGCTCAAACAGACCTAGGGAGCAGAATGGGGCGGAGGCAGGTGCTTGGCATGGAGCTGAAGGCAGGCAACAGCAGGGTAGTGGGAAGGGAAACAGAGCTGGCTTCTTGCAGCTCAGGCTCCAGACACCACCCCAACTGCTGGTGACCAACTGCAAATGCTGCTGGTCAAGCAGTGCCCTGTCCTCAGTACTACCACCTCCCAGGCTGTTATCAGCACAGACTGCCTGTAATTCAATACTGATACTGGAGTTTGAATTGAGAGATGATTATAACATGCATTCTAGAAACAGGTCTGTAAGTAAACAAAGCTCAGCAATTGTTTCTTTGATTCCTACACCCTATCATAGCAAAGCATCATAAGCAAAGTGTGTTACAGAAATCTATTTCTAAAATAATAGATCAGAAGCAAGGAATTACAGCTTTGTGCTGATACGCAGTGAGGAAAAAATTCAAACAACAAAGTCTAGGAAGTGAACGCAAACATCATGGACTGGCCCTGACAGGGACATTAATCCTGGGACAGCTAGGGAACAGAAATTCATATCAGAGGCCAATACATTGCAGAATTCAATTTAAGAAGCAAAAAGTTACTGCAACTGCAAAATCTAGGGAGATCTTATGAGATGCCAAGGTGCTGCCTTGCTGTTCAAGCAACATTCAAACCCACAGTTGATGAAGCCTTTGCTCTGCAAGAATACACCTATTGGAAAAGCTCATAGTGATCTCTCACCTTGTGCAAAACATCTGAGCTGGCTGTGACACCAGCAGGGGGAATGCAGCACAACCTCTCACTTTAGCGGTGAGCCTTTCAAGCCCACATTTCTGATGTAGGAAATCACCTCGGGCTTGCACAAGACATTAGCTGGCAGAAGAGCCAGACCTGTGAGGGCTGAGGCAAGTGTTGCCTCACACGGTCCTGGACAGTTAGCATTACAGCAGTCACAGCAATTTCAGATGGCAACACTTGTCAGAGCTAACAAAAATCATACAGCAAAGTTACTGAGTCTGAACTGCTAGCACTTGGGAAAAGATGAACTTTGGTGGTTTGCTGTATTTATTGGCAGAAAGTACACACAGGAGTGTAGAAGCATGCGCATAATTTTAAGGATTAGACTGTAAAAAAATTTAATAACAGCATGCACTGCATGGCTCCTGACTTATACCCATGGGACAGCTGATGTGTCTTTGAGTGTCATTCGGAAAAAAAAGTGAGGTTTTGGATATAAGTTACATACTAGGCTTGTGGAGGTGTAGTTAGAGTAATAAAAAGGTCTCTATGCACAGGAAATGAGCTGGGAGAGCTGTGGGAGGGAGGAGCTGCCTGCCGGCATCTTTGCCTCTTACAGCAGGGGTGGCATGAAGCAGATGTTCAGTGCTTTCAGTGTGAAACATTACAAGGAATTCCTTGCAGAAGGACAAAAAGACTTAAGCTCTACTTTAATGATGAGGCTAAAGCCCTCCCAGATTTCACATTTGAAATTGAATTGCTAAGAATTTCAAAAGCTTGGAAAACATTACATTTCCTATGAATGACTTAATAGCAGAGTTATTATTTGTTCTACATTGGGGCAAGAGGAATGCCAGTTCATTTTCACTCTGATCAGCAACTCTGTTCCCACAGTTATACTAATATTTTGCTAAGGTCTTTTTAAATTTAATTAATTTTTGGAATGTGTTATTTCAAAATAGATATGAAAACAGAAACCGTTTTGTGAAGATAATATACTGAGCGGGATATTTGCATTAAATTCAGTAGTACTTCATTTTTATTTTAGAAATAATTTGCCCTAGTTTTACTTTCATCCCTAGTGTTAAGTCACTGAACCTGTAAATTCTGATGGATTGTGACGTACTGGTTGTACTAATGCTGATCAAGACTTGGACACTTAAATTAGTCACTTTAGCTTTTACTTCCATCAGCAATTACCTTAAAGCATGAATGCAATATATCATCCTAGGTATGTTTTTCCTATCATAGACATCTGTAGTCTCTGGATAAAAAATCTGAAAAAAAAAAAAAACAAAACAAAAAGAATATACAGTTAGAATGAAATAAAGGTAACTGGGCAGAAGAATAGCTAAAATGGGCTCACTGCAGATCACTACCTTGGAATCACAGAAATTCAACTGTTATCTCTATACATTTATGAATAAAATCTCTTCTCATGCTATTTTATCTTTATCTATAGTTTTCATAACAAAGAATCTAATAGAGCTTGAAGTTTAATATTAGAATGGAAAGCGAGGAAGATAAGCAGATAGGATTTTGGCAAGACAGTTAGAAAAGACTCTTTGGCAAAAGCTCAGGACATAGGATTTCTTCTCCTTCAGACACCCAAAGCTTAGGACACAGTTATTTACTAGGTGGTATTGGTTCACTTTTGCAAGACTTAACAATTCAAAAACATCCAAACACCAATACCCCCAGCACCAGTAACAGAAAAAAATATGTTCAAATGGAGGACTGTAAAATAATTTAGTTAAGAAGTCACACTGTGAATTCCAGTTCTGGTCCTACTACTAATTTGTTCCTGGCCTTAGTCCCAGTCACAAACCATGGCTCTTCTCTGAAAGAAAAAAAAAAAAAAAAAAAAAAAAGGAAAGCAGTGGCTATCCTTGTGAGCTGGCAGCACACTGCAGCTCAAGACTGGGCAGTACATTGGCCAACAGAGCAAGACGAGCTGGCCAGGAGCACGGTGCCCTCCTCATCACTTGCACACTGTGGCTTTGGGAGGGAGACACGGGAAATCTTCTGGCCACAGTGCTCCTCTGCAACAGAGGCAAAGGCCTTTGGAAGAAGAGGGAATCCGCCTACTGAAGAGGAGACTCAGGCTTGCAAACAGCTAAAACACAGTTGACCTAGGAAAGGCATCTCCCCCTCAATCTTCATCATGCCTGTGAGAGCAGTCAAAAGGAGCTCTTTTTTGTTTTCAGGCTCCCATACAGGGAGCCGGTCCCATTTTCAAGTTCCCAGGCAGCCATCTGAGCATCCGTGCTGTGCCCAGCCTCGCACAATGTGGGGCAGACCCACACCGAGCACTCACCCTGGGGCTGCTCCTCAGGCCTGCAGGTACCAAACCAGCAGGGCAAGTGAAGTGTTTCCACACAGCCCTTTCTTTAAAAATTTTCATCCAAAGGAAGACTCACTGGTGCCCAGAAATAGCAGGAGAGAGGAAGATGAGAAGCGCAGACCCATGAGAAGGGAGGTAAGTGTGAAAGGTGACCCAAGAAAGCAGCTGGAGGAAGAAGAGCAGTAGAGCCACACCGGGACGTACAGGGTCAGCCTGGAAACTGGGCAAAGGCAGAGAAACTACGACATACGTTAGGAGGAAGAGGCAGCAAAAGACATCAGAGGTAGCAACCAAAAGGAAGAAAAAGTTTTCCAGTTCTAACTCTACCACATTCAGGCCCCCACCAAGACTGTACTAACAATAAAGTACAGCTAAAGCACTACTACTATCCCCTTCTGACTCTCAAGATAAGCACTCTGAGTATTCTCCCCCATGGCGCTCATCACCCACAGCACCAAGCACAAACCAAGCAGCATTATTTTCTCTTCAGATATGTGTCTGAACTAGCCCTCCCAGGAGGCTTACCGTACACAAGTTTAGACTTGGGCAGTTGAAAGGAGACATTACTGAGTCACTGCCTTGATTCTGTTCCCTTGCTAAATTCAGATGCTTACCTTAGGCAGACCAATAGACTCCATTGCTCTTAGCCACTGCACGGTGTTATCAGTGTGTCGAAAATGAAGTCCTGATCTCTATGGGAAACACAGGAGGAAGAGATTATAAAAACAATGCTTACATTCTCTACTGATTACTCTGCTGCTTCCCAATTTTGTATCCTGAGGCAGTTTTCCCTCATTTGACCTGGAGACCCCAAGCATCATAGTTGCAATCCTGCTAATGAAGCCGCCTAACGTATCAACAAACTCACTACGTCCAACTCATGGAATCATGAAGATTGGGGAAGACCATTAAGATCATTGAGTCCAACAATCAGACCACCAGCATCATACCCACTAATCACGTCCCTGAGTGCCACATTCAGCCTTTTCTTGAAAAGCTCCAGGAATGGTGACTCCATCACCTCCCTGGGCAGCCTAACCTTCCTGGGCTGTTCTAACGCATCACCAGTCAGTCACCATATTTTTCCTAATATTCAAGTTATGCTTTTATAAAAGATAAGCTAGATTTGAAACCAGATTTATGGATATCAAAAGAAGAATTTAACCGTAACTATGTCCTAACCATGATTCTATCAAGCACATGAAAGGAGAGCAACTTAATTTGTGAACTTCCAAACAACAAAGTGATTACACCTCTAAAACTTAGACGTTTAAGTTTTTCCTGAGCCCTCTACAGACTGAAATAAAGCATTGAATAGAGGGGTCTTATGCTGTGCATGTTTCTGTTACTGATAGTCTTGTAGTTAACAAACAGCTCACTGACGTAGCAGCCCAAGCCTAATTTCTTTGCTTTAGTGGTAAATTTGGTAACAAAAATAGGCACAGATCTAATGAAGGGAATGTCCCTCCATACAAGATTAATAAAATCAGAAATAGTTATCAAGTTTAATTATTAATTTATTTTTTATTTTTTGGCTCCTTTTCCTAATAAGGAATAATTACATGAATAAATCTCCCGTTCCGTGGAGACAGAAGTATAATTTGTTTGGCTTTAAAAACATTAAGTGTCACTAATACTGTTTTTCCTCTTATAAAATATTTCTAAATTTTCATACTGGCTTCTTAAGTGCTGTACATCTCCCATCTTATCTTGACAGGCTTACAAAAGAGACATAGAAAATGGACTAATCATGCTCATGGATCTTCAAGAGCTAGTCAATAGACAATTTTTTGAAAATAGAAAGTTATTACCTTGTAACGTTCCTGCTTCACATCATAGATCTTTTTGTCTGACACCAGATTGGGGGCAAAGAATTTTGCAAGCTTGGCAAGATAAACACCATTCCTTAAGCCTTCTTCCAGCTCAGTAGTAGGGGGCAGCTCTTCTTCCAAGCAGACCTCCATCCACCTATACAAAGACATTGTTTAAGAAATACTGTTATCTGCAGTTTCAGTGCATTTGATCTGACATCCTTCCCCATAGCCATCATACTTTTCAAGTCACCACTCAACAATCACAGTCAGTAATGGGAATGAGTATACAGGCAGAAAGAGAAAATACTCATATTCATTAACAAAGCAGATCAAAACAATTAGAGTCCAATTTGCACTGCATGCTAAGGACCCATAAATAACCTAATCTCTTCGGATGTGTCTCCCAGAGGATGTCTATTTTATTTTCACACTGCTGTGTAAAGATCTTCTGAGCAATCCCAAGCTTTTAAGTAGGTAGTGATTTGCCCTGAAACCAGAAGAAAGAACAGGGTGCTATGTATTACTGGTGCTTCCATTTTAGGAAGACTAAAAGATTATGTTGAATGATGAGGGCATCAAAGCCAGCAGTGCAAGGGGTTGTCTTGGTTCCCAATGCCTAGGTGTGCTAAATTCATGGCAAATTCAGCATCTTATCATCCTCCTTTACCAGGCAGCAGCCCTTCATCTCCACTCATGACACGTGGTGTCATTGCTGATGGAAGGATCTGAGCTTTTCATTGAAACAGCCCATCTGAGCTCTGTCCAGCAACGTCTTGGCTGAAACATTTCCACTACTCATCAGTGGAAAGGCCTTCTTGTTCAACATCTTTCAAGGTGAAAAAGTTTTTTTTTAGATTTAGGTATGACACTAGACAGAAAACAGTCAATATACAACCAGTTCAGAAAATCTTTAAAAGACAAAACCCTTTTATCCTGTACATTTATAATGCATAGAAAAGAAACACTGCTATCAAAGTATCCTGAAAAAGACTACTTCTGTACCAGAAGTTCCTTGCATTGGTGGCCTAAGTATTCTGGCCCTGTAATCATATTCTCATTTCTAGTAGCTAGCATTAGAAGAGTTTTAAATCTGTTTTGTTTCCTCTTTTTTTTTTTTTCTTTTTTTTTTCCCCTTTAGGAAATCTATCCTTTTGTTAAAAAGATATTAGTATCTTCAGTTATGTTCTTTGCCACATATGATGATATTAGTTTGCCTCACTGTCACTAAGGCAGGCTCGTGGTATGCTGTACAAAACAGCATTACAAATCTAGCATCACATCCACAAGAGTGAGTTCGGAAACCAGAAAGCTGGAATCCAGGCTGAAAATGAGCCAGTTTTTCCTCACTACATCATTTTGTTTCACATTAAAACTCAAGACAAATGACCTATTCCATTACACTTTTGGATTTGTTACAAGACATATGAAAGTTGTTTCAGTGAAGCACAGACTACCCAAATAGCTCTTCAGGAAACCACCAGCCATAAATCTTGGCAGTATCACACAGAGTTGGATGTCACTGGGGAAATTGTAGTTTGCAGGGCAAAAGCTGCTTTGGGAAGAAGGATTGTATCACTGAGACACATTTCTGCTCTGTTCTGCATTGCACACTTACATGTTATGGCTCTATGCAGAGAATTCCAAAAGTCATCTTTATTAATGATGCTTTATAGAATGAATGAATGAATGAATAAATGTACACAGTAAGGCAAAACATAGAATACTTTAGGTTAGGAGGCACCTTTAAGGTCATCCAGTTCCAACTCCCTGCTATATGCAGGGGCACCTCCCTCAAGACCAAGTTGCTCAAAGCCCCATCCAGCCTGGCCTTGAATGCTTCCAGAGAGGGGGGACATCCACAGCCTCACTGGGCAACCTGTTCCAGTGTCTCACCACCCTCAAGTAAAGAATTTCTTTCTAAAAACATCATAACATTCGTCTTCTTCAACACAGAGGATGGTATTAAAAAGAATATATATTCCAGTTTGTAGCAAAGGTGAATTTTACCTGAACCAGTCTACTATTCCTACATTATTTCCTAAAACACATCTTCTGGAAGTATGACCCTGACAGCAGGAGGAGCATGCTGAGAAATAAAAAGGAGGCAGTCAGCACAAGCTAGAGCTGATCCTGTTGTCCACTGAGCCATCTCCAGCGATGAAAACTATACACCTCACAACAGCACTCTTCATATTTCATCAGATCCTTCACACCTCTGAACTCCAACTTTCTTGTCAGGACACAATCCATTACTGTTGATGAGGCAGAGAAATGGATACTGGTACAAGGTGGAAGCTGCTCTTTCACTTAATTTAAATAATGGGAACTCTGAACAAAGAATCTGTTTTGTATTCGTTTCCTGCATGGTGACAAGCCCAAGTATGGAACCATCTTGTTCTGGACAGTGAGGCTCCCCTCAGCAATTCAGTGAGTGAATGCAACATAAAGAAGAAACTGAAAACTATATGAGGAAGCAGTGAAAACAGAAAAAAAAACAGAATCAAAAATACAGTTGTCAGTCCACCAAGTACAGATAAATATGAGTAGTCTTTTCAGAGAGAGAAACTTACTAACTCAGTGGTAAAAAGGAGAAAGTAGAGAAAGATAAGTGGAGTATACCTGAAAACAAAAATAATTACAAACTTATGTCCACTTGTAGCTAAAAATCTTTAAGTTATATTAATTCCAGAAAAACACTCTCCCAGGTCAGCAACAGGACAAGTATCTTAGAGCCTTTTGGAACACAGTAGATAAAATAGATGTGATCAAGTTACATATAAGACAAGTTTTGTCGATGTTTGGAAGCTGCAGAACTTATTCACCACATGAATTACAGTGAGTCCCTGCAATATACAAACACTGAGTTTCAGTTGTGCCGCTCAACTGTTAGTCTCTGCTTGTGTACACCGAAACATCTGCAGCACATATTTCCAGTTGTTGCTACTACAATAGTTTTGGTCTTGGTGCACCAATTTTGTTTAAAAATAATTGCACTTCTCAACAGGACAAAGTATTACTTGTAAGGCTAGTGAAGTGAAGTTCTGCTTTTCAAGATGCAGTTTGGGAAGTTTATAAAAGTTATAATATGATGTGGTGCCAACAGGAAGAGTAGGCTGTAGTGAAAAAACAGAAATCCCTTCAACTTCTGTTTTTGAAGGAAACAGATAATATCTACCTGACCATAAGAATTTATAGGTTCCTTTGGAGTAATTTATTTTTTCTTTAGACTGAAAAAGAGCCAGCATTGCCTTTGGCTCTCCCACTGTTTTCCTGAGCACACAGTACTGCAGCATCAGCATTAGATTTAAAGTCTGTCACAAGAGCTGTTCCACAAAAAAAAAGAAAAGTTAATACCATGGCTATACCAGAGGAAGTGTCTATAACTCAGCAGTATGCAGTATACTTTTCTCCAGTATGAAGCTTGTGGAGTGACAGTAGTATAGCTATCAAATATGCACAGTCCTTTTCTATAGTACAAACCCAAAACTACTACTGTGTTTTTAACAACCATAAATGGCAAATGCATGCCACAGAAAGATATCCTCATGGTGAATACAATGGTGGCTTGGTCACTAGTTACAGCTACACCCAAACCCCACTCTGTGGGGCAGGAAAAAAAGCAGTGTCAGGAAACAGACTGAAGTGTGTAATGCTGCTGAAGTTGTGGAACAGCATCACCAAAAATTAGCCTATCATTTAAATATTCCTGTGGTGCTAAGCATGTTTGCTTTGTTCTTATTTTGGTTTCAAATGTATAAACAGACGTTTTCCTGAAAAAAGACACTCTGGATCTTATATAAGTATAAATAACTATGCCAGTAAGCAAAGCCAACCACCTTTTAATTTCTTTTCACTCCAGCAGTTGTCAACATTGATTTGCCTTAAAAAAGTTAAAAGAAAGAAAGACTTGATCAATGCAAATAGGCCTCCAGAACCAATGCAGTATTGCAGAGCCAGCCAGGAGTGAGTATTGAGGTACAAGAGGTACAGTTTCCATTTTCTCTGCTCAGTTCTTTTTGTTTGTTTGTTTTTCTTTTTTTTTTTTTTTTTTTTTCCTTTTGGCAGTCTGAGGCAGAGAGATTCAGCAGTGAATTTCTGGCAAGATAACAATGATTTCTTCTGTGCCAGACCTATGAGCAGTAAACAGCATACTACATCACCAGGAGACTCCAGTCTCCAGATTTAAACACAGAAAACAGCAGCAGTGTAACAAGATCAGACCTGCACTTTAAAAGAAAAAAATAAATAAAATTGAATCTCATTCAAGAAAAGGGTCAAGGGAACTGGAAGCACTAGTGCTGCACTATGAACTCCACCAGTTATGAGGTTGTCACTGGCAATCTGTGTGGTCAGCAAAACATACTGCTGGCAGAGGGACTTGAAATGTTTAAACTAATGCTCGGCAGAGAATACACTGTACAACCTGCCCAAAGCCCATCGCGTTTGGCACGTGCTGGATTCAGCAGCAGAAATTATATTTGACTACTCTTCTCTCTTGGTTTTGCACCACAAGATGTGGATTCAAAGGACACCAGATTTGTATCTCCTGAGAAGCAGAGGCAAGGTACCAGAGTCAGGCCTCAAAACACTATATGCTGCTATGAAAAAGGTATAGTGAAAACAAGGTAAAAACAAGTTACCACACATTTACTACTTCCCTGACTCACAACCACAGCCCTTCAATCTGCTCTTGCACATGCGTATCAAAAGGAAGTAGAAGTTTTCAGCCAGTAGTTACTCTAAAGCCATCTCATTCCACAGAAAGGATGACAGTCACATTACTAGAAGAGGACAAAAAGTAACCACCAGTCCCAAAACAAAATGTTTGGCTCCTACATTAAATAAAAATCCCTCTGTTTCAGACATTATCTCAAATAAGGAATTTGAAGATATTTAGAAATACACAGTAGCTGAACCATGAGAACTGGAACATTTGAAGTGCTACATTACGCCTCTAATTTCTGAATCTAAACATTTGCTAAGAAATCTCTGCTCTTAATTCTTCACTTACTTTTGTTCCCTAATGCAGAAAGCGGTGGGTTTTCTGTTTTTTATTTATTTTTACTAACGGTCCTCTAAATACTGTTTCTAAAAGGATGCTGACAGTGGCAGAAGAGAGCTCGGTGCATTTTGTGGCTGAGCAAAGTAACCAAC